TATGCTTGGCGGGGCTGACTCTGACCCAGCTCACGGTGCTTTCTCCGCTCAGAGCATCTTCCCTGCCTCCTCTCTTCCTGCACTCATCACAGCCACGCACCTGCCCAGTCCGGCTCAGGAGTCCTGACCTCCAGGAACCTCACCAGCTCCTGTCCCTCCTCCAGCTGGATCTGGCACCCCTCGTGCCTCCTCTGGGTTCCCACTGGGCCTGGGCTTGCCCCCCCCCGCAGTCTCCTCACCCTGGGCTGACACTCAGCATCCCAGGTCTGCTCCCCACACTGGCCTCTGAGCTCTCAAGGAGCTGAGACCAGGTCTTACTCATGTCCATCCCTCCAGCACCCCACGCAGAGGGCCTGGGAATCAGGACACCCATCGGTCCATACACCGTGACTACTGACTCAGAGCACCGCTGTGTAAGCCGGACACCAGGGAAAGGAGAATGAACAGGCAGCAATCCTTGGCCCGGAAGACATGCTGGTGAAAAAACCACGTGCATAAACAAATCAGAGCTCCCAGCAGTTACATTTAACAGGACAGAAACCGTGGGGGACAAATGCAGCCCAGGAGACACAGCCTTCTGCCTACCCAGGCAGCTGATTCGGAGATCAAGAGCAGACTTAGGAGTCAGACGCCCATGTTCAGATCCCAGCTCTGCATCCTTCTAGCTAGGGCAAGTCACTTAACCTCTCTGTACCTCTGTTTCCTCATCCATAAAGTGGGAATAATAATAATGCTCATCTCATAAGGTGATTTGAGGCTTAAACATGTTAATTCCTGCAAAGTACTTAAAAGCCATACCCGATCCATGTACGTTGGTTAGTATCATTTTCCTGGGGGTGGTAAAAATCAGGGAAAGCTCCTTGGAGTGAACACAATCCCTAGATTAACTCCTTATGTCTCCACATTTGGGCCAGAGCCCCACTAGGCACACCTTCAGCCACCGGCACACTCCCGGGCCCCCTGGCTCAGAGCACTGAGCAGTTAGTTCCAAGCACCTCAAATCTCCACCAAGGGTTTTCTCCAGCCTGGGGGAGAATGTGCCACGTCACTGCTAATAAGCAGTGCCCTTCCTCTGAAGTAAAGCGTTCTGCAGAGAAGTGTGCTGAGCCCTGGGACGGCAGCCCTGCTCCCCCAGGCCCAGCCGGCCATGAGCCCTGCAGGCCCCACGGACGGCGTCATTAGGCAGCGGCCAGACCGGGCTGTTTCCAGAGCCCCGGCGCTGAGGTGGGCAGGCTTCCTCTCTATTCCAAGCAGCGGCCAAGCGCAGCTTCATTAAATATGCATGGTGATCACCTCGTTACTGTGCCGAAGGGCTGTGTGTACTGAAGGTGAGCTGCCCACACCGGGCAGCACACAAACTTTTCAATTTTCCTGGCTGCACACGGGGCGCATGCTTCCTCCGACCCACCACCCCTTCCTCTGTCCTGCCTCCCCGCACCCAACGCCCTCCTGATGCCCTCCGGGGTGTGCAAAGCAGGTAAAAAGCCATATTGATCCCCTTCTTGAGAGCAGCTGGTCCAGAACTAATCTTAAATCATCGCAGCCTCGAGCTGGAGCCTGGTGGCTGCTCAACCCCAGGGACGGTGGGGTCAGAGCTGGGCTTCGGGGCCTGGGCAGGAGTGCACTGCGGCTGGCAAGCGGCAAAATCGGGTAAAAGAGAGCCCGGGCCCGGCTCCATCCCTGTCCCGCCTTTCGTCCATTTGTCTCACGATCCCCTTCCTGCCAGCAAAGCCAGGATGGCAGACCCGCGACACGGAAGCACACCCCACACCCACAAGCAACACCAACTCAAAGGGAGCTTGAATCTCCAAATAAGCCCTATATAAGGACTTAAGTGAGGCAAATAGTCACAACGATAACCAATGTTCTTTGAGCACTTGCTATGTGCCGGGCCCTGCGTGAAACAGCCCTTCCACACGTAAGTATTCTCATTCAACCCTCTACAGAGTCCTATCAGCATCGCATTCTCCAGGTGATGCCACTGAGGCCCAGGAGGGCTGGGCGCCTTGTCCAAGGGTGCAGAGCTTGACAGGACAGAGCCAGGGCCATCTAAAGCAGCCAGCCAGCCAACCACACACCTCCGAGGGACTGGGGTGCCCAGGGAACCCAAGGGGGGCATGGCCAGGACAGAGATGGGGGCCACTGCCCTGGGTGATGCCTCTCAATCGGCCCCTCCAGAAAGTCTCAGGGCCCTGGGCGGGGGACAGGGGGGCCCAGCTTTCACCAGGGCTCAGGCCCTGTGGCCCACACCTCCTCCCCAACAACCATCAGCCGCTGCCTCCCAAGTGGTTTCTGGGTCCTCTGAACCCTTCCTGAGAAGAGTCTTCTTTAGAGACACCTCGTAGTTCACAGCCTGCCTCCCAGTGTCCCCAGCTGCCTCCTCCCTCTCCCTCCATCGCCCCTGTTGGCAGGGCTAAGGGCGTCCTTGGGCCAACAGGGCACTCGGTGGGCTTGCTCCTTCCCATCTCACCCGCTCTCTGCTCTTGGCTTCCTCATGTCTCTGGGCTCACTTTTCCCACATGGTTCTCCTGGTCCTATTCTGGAGGTTGCGTCTCTCCATCAGACTGGAAAGCCCCCAAGGGCAGGGGTCTGTCTCCCCCATTTAACTGGAGGCCTCCGAAGGGCAGGTGGTATCGCCCCATCAGATTAGAGGCCCTCCAAGGGCAGGCCTGGGTCTCTCCCATGAGACTGGAAGCCCCCCAAAGGCATTGCTGGGTCTCCCCCATCAGACTGGAGGCCCTCAAGGGCAGGCTGTGTCTCCCTCTTTAGATTAGAGTCCCCCAAGGGCAGGCTGGGTCTCACTCATCAGACTGGAGGCCCCCAAGGGCAGGCTGGGTCTCCCTCTTCAGACTGCAGGCCCCTAAGGGCAAGGCTGGGTCTCCCTCATCAGACTGGAAGCCCCAAAGGGCAGGGCTGGGTCTCCCCCATCAGTCTGGAGGCTGCCATGTGCAGGACTGGGACCCCTCCCCGCTTCCCCAGCTGCCCTCAACTGGGCCCCAGTGCTCAGCTGCTGGCTGAGTGCCCCTCACCACGGCTCCCCACATGAGTTGGAGCCTGCACAGGGTTCGAGCAGGAGAAAGCCAACAGGGCACCCAGGCTTGGCGTAAGGACAACGCAGGGACACCGGGGGAGGGGGTGCAGGGGGTAGGCCGAGGAATCGGATGGGCCCTGTCCTTCCTCCTACCAAGTGGCTTGAGACCCAGGAGTTTCAGGGACCCCAAGGGCCCTGGGGGAACCAGCTCCCCCTGCTCTCCTTCCTCTCAGAAGGTGGAGGAGGTGAGAGGCCCTTGGGGCAGGTGGGGGGTGGTAGCAGGCAAGCCCCCCAAAGCAAACCAGGGGCTGGGAAGGGGGTCTGTGGCTATAGCTGCTCAGGGCTCCCCTCCCCACTCTGGCTTCCCCCCAGGAGAAAGAAGACCAGAGGGGGAAGCAGTAGCCTCCTTCCTGTTGAGGCCCCCCGGGCCCCTCCCCAGATCCCCCACCTGGCCCAGCCCAGCGGCACCAGTGAGGTCACTGGTCCTCAACAGGATGTTCCCAGCGCTCGGCCTGGGACTGGGGCCCAGGAGTCACCTTCAACCCCCAACACCCTTTTCCTCTAAAGGATGATGAGAACTCAAAGCCTAAACCCCCCGGTTCTGCCCAGAGCACTGCCCCCCACCCCTGGCTGGCGGGCTGGGGTGTAATCCCTCCTCCTCCCTTCCCAGCACCGGGAGGGGCCTCTAATCAAATGACCAGGACTGTGGCTCCCAAGCATTATCTCAGTGAGCAAGAGGACCCCAGGAAGGGACACTGAGCCCCCTTTCACCAGTGGGAAACGAGGTTTCACAGATGGGGCCCTAACAAGGCACCAGCAGGTGAGCGGCACTGGGACGCAGAGCCGGGTGCACACAGCTCCAGAGACTGCCCCTCAGGTTCCAACAAAAACAGAAAGTGAGCACCATGACGCTGAGACTCAAGCCAGGGTCCCAGGGTGTGCCCACAGCTCCCTGGGCCTCAGTTTCCCCACCTGATCCAGCCCTCAACACCTGTGATCTTACAATGGCAGGACTCCCTCGGTGCGCTTGCCTGGCTATTATGTAGCCAATTTACAGCCCATTTATAGAGATGAGCCAGTGGGCAAATGGCAATCGCCCCCTCACAGAAGCTCACCTGGGGCACCTGTCTGTCCCGACCCTGAGCCTATACCCAAACCTCTACTCTGGGCCTGATTACCAAGGCCCCACTCCAAGCTGACAATCCAAACAAATCAAACGATGACAAACATCACCAATATATCATTGGGGAGTCACGCCTGAGTCCACACCTGTGGCCCGGGGACCAGGCCTTCATCCTGGCGGCCAGGGCGCAGGGGGTGCTCAGCCCACAACATGGCAAGGAGGACCATGCAGCCTCCACCTCCACAGTTTAAAGAGCCCAGGGGTGCCCAGGTGGCTCAGTCGGCTAAACGTCCGACTCTTGATTTCGGCTCAGGTCATGATCTCAGGGTCGTGAGATCGAGCCCCGCATCGGTCTCCATGCTCAGTGGCGAGTCTGCTTGAAGATTTTCCTCTCTCCCTCTGCCTGCTCTCATTCCCTCTCCCTCCCTCTTTCTCAAATAAATAAATAAATCTTTAAAAAAATTAATTAAATAGAGCCCAGCCTCCAGGATGGCTGCATCCACCCGCCTCCCCTCAGCACAGCCGGGTCCTGGGTACGGTGTGAGGCAGGGCTCCCAATTCCTGCTCCACAGGCAGCAAGAGACACAGCCCATGGGCCAGATCACGGCTCAGCCCCAAGGTCAGGACCCTTCCCCTCCAGGCAGCCCCAGGGAGGCATGCTGGGGCAGAGGGCAGGGCCCAGCAGTGATTGGCAGCCCACTGTGCTTCTCAACAAACTCTCACAGATCCCTGAGACACAGCTGGGGCTGAGCACGGTGCCAGGTAGACACGAGAAGGGCCCACAAGGATGCACCCAGCAGATGGCCCAGAGGCCGGCAGCCTTGAGCCACAAGGTAGGGCCGGTACCTGAGTCTGCAAGCTAGTGGCATCCACCACGGTGACCCGAGGTCCGCAGCTGGCCCACAAGGCGTCCTCCAGGCTCAGCAGGGTACGGACTGGACCTGGCCCCACAGTCAGGCACACGGGAGGGCTCTCCAGGTCCCAGGGGACACCTCCTGCAGGGAGAGGAAAGAAGCAGCTCAGGAGGGAGGTAGGGCGGGAATGGGACACAGGTCAGGGGCTCAGGGCTCCTCAAGCCTTGGGAACTGCCGGGAAGCCTCAGCAGTGGGCCCACCCGGGCCCCACAACACCCTCCCGCCCTTCTCTCTGGCCCTTCTCCCTCCTCCAAAGGGGCAGGGCCGTTCCCATCCGCCTCCATTACGCCCCACCCCCTCTGGGGGCTGTACCCCCCGATTCACCCTCCTTCCCTCCTCTATCCCCCATCTCTTTCCCGCGTGGGCTCCCCCCTCAACACACACACACTTAGTAAGCACCAACCCCGGGCCGGGCCAGGTACTGGGTACTGGAAGGACAGGAATGAGTCTGATACAGACCCTGGCCTCCAAGAAAACCCTGCCAGCTGGACAGGACAGGGGGTTGTCAGCAGCCCCCGCACCGGTGCCACGCAGAGCTGAGCAGGTGAGCACAGGGGGGCCTCGAGGAGCGCTGAGACAGATGGAAAACTCGGCCCAGGGGTAATCCAGAGAGGCTTCCCAGGAGATGTGGCGTCCGCACGGCCCTGCTGAGGCAGCTCAACATGGTGGAACGTGCCCTGCGCTGGCCCTCATTCTGCTAGAAACTCAATTAGGACCTTGAGCACATCTTTCCCCCTTCTCGAGGCCTCAGTCTCCCTATCTGTAAAATGAGGAAACCACCCAGACCGTCTCTGAAGATTTTGACTAGATGTTTCTGGCAGACTCTGGCCAGCTCAGAGATCTCCCGCCTCCAGGGCACTCTGTCACCTTTACCAAGATTTCTGATGACCTTCTTCCTCCAGAGGCACCACCACCTCCAGGGGCAGAAGAGGAAGCCTGAGAGGCGATTGGCGCCCAGTCTACCACCCCTGAAGACAGAACAACACCAAGGGACCTGGCCTGGCTCTGAACAAAATTCTCGCCTGCCCACCCTGGGATGCTCAGCCCCCCCCAAAAACGTGCCCAGAATGTTCCCTGGCACGTGAGCAGCGCCCATGGAGACTGGGGTTTCTCTGAGGTCACACAGAACCCCAGTGGCCACCCTGTCCTGCCCGCATGCCAGGTGAGAAGGGGGGTTGAGAGGGAACAGGGGGCATACTCCAGAGACAGGCAGCAGTGGCTGGGGCCTGGGAGGGGGACAGAGCCTGCTGCTGGCTTGTCAGTGCCTGGCAACCCTCACATTCCCCACCAGGCCCCTGGAGGGAGTCTGAAGGACGCCCACTCACAGACCCCCCCCCCATGAGCCAGCCATTGGGCGGGCACAGTGGGGAGCAGCAGACCCCAGAGCTGGAGTGTGGCAGAAGCCAGTGCTTGGGGTGTATGGGGAGGAGCCCTCGGAGCCCCTACCACCCCCCTGCCCCCGGGCTTTCCCTCTTCCTCTACCCTCCACCTGTGAAACAGGTTCTCCCCTCGCCCTTCTGTCCTACTTAATATGCACAGACGCCCAGCTTGGCTAGGAGCCGGGGAGTAGGGTCTTCCCAGCCCGTGAACATGAACATGGGCCAGAATCCTGGCCACAGCCCCCAAACGTCTGCCAGGTCTCGGACCGGCGGCTGTGCCTCGCGGAGCCTCATCTGTCCAATGGCACGAGTGTGCCCACGTGGGGACGCTGAGCATGGGGTCGGCACGTGGCTAGGGCGGCCGATGGCTGTCGCTAGCGTCGCTGAGCGCCGACACGCCAGGCACGCTTTTCGTGAATTACGTCCTTAACTCCTGGCAAGTCTACGTGGAAGATCCTATTCTTATCCCTGTTTTACGCTGAGAAAACAAGACACAGAGTTTAAATAACCAGCCCAGGTGACAGGGCCAGAAAGTATCCGGGGCCCGTTCGCTCCTGTTTGGTGTCATTTGCCACAATTCAGCATCTGCGGGAGCAGGTGTTGACTCCACTTGACTGATGTGACAACAGAGACCCGGAGAGTGAAGCTGCACAAAGCCACCCAAGGGGCGGCCCGCCAAGCAGGATTTGAGCCGTGCTGACCGGCCCCAGCCTCCTTCCCCAACCCCTGCTTTCCTCTCAGCTTCCTGGAGTTTCCAAAGGGCTCTGGGACCAGGATGGGGAGTGACCACAAGGCGTCCAGGCCTCCACTGGGGACCCTGACCCCCACCAGGACTCCAGAACCACAAAACGCCAGGCCTCGGGCGCCCCCCAGTGGCCATAGGTGAGTAGTGCGGGTGTGTGGCTGGAGCTGGAGCCACTCTGGCTGGAGAAGGGGGTTGCTGTGACCTCTCCCAGTGGAGAAGCAGCTGGGGATGCTGGGACCACATCCGAAAACAGGGAGGTGCAGGCTCTGCCCCATGGGCATAGCAGTTTTGACCACCAGAGCCCTTGTACTATCTACCTTGTATTTTTCCATCACAGAGCAGGGTCATGGCTGCCAGGGGTAGGGGCTAGGGTCTGACACCCCTGAGGGTCACATGTGCACTGACCCCTCCTCCCCCTGAGGAGACCCCCTGGAGACACCCCCTGTGTCTCCAGATATCCCCCAAGAAATCTTGACTCCAGGACAGAATGATAAACTGGTAAAATTTAATAATAACAATATTTTTATATCAAAAAGGACAAGGGACAGGTGTCCCAGACTAGAGGACAAAGCTCCAACAGGCTTCCCCTTGCTGGGGCTCGGCTTCTCCAAGTGCACCACGAGGGGCCAGAACTCAAGGTTCCTCCCAGTCCTCACGAGCCATAACCCTAGGACTTTAAAGGCAATCACTCTGAGCTCTGGGTAGGGCTGACCCATGCCCCGCCTTGCCCTGCAGTGGCTCTGGGTAAGCAAGCACATGTCTGGGCATACACGTGCACACTCACACGCACACACCCACCCTGTGTGACAGCCCATCCGTCTGGGCCCAGCACCAGCTCTCACGCCAGACAAAGGGAGATGAAGACCCCGTCTCACTCAGCAAAGGTATCTTTGAGAGGCGGGAGCTCCACACCTCCCCGAGCTGGTGGCCCTCGGGGATGCACACCTGCTGGAGCCAGGAGGCAGGGCACAGAGTGAAAGTCCTCAAGGCTGAGACAGGCCCAAGGGCAGCCCAAGCCCGGTCATAATGATAGGAATGACAGTGACGCTGAGTCTCTCTCCTTCCCGGGCTCCATCTGGGCACCTGTGTACCTCATCACATCTGGCCCTCACAACCATGCTGGGAGGTGGGGCTGTCCTCACGCCCGCTTCACAGGTGAGGAAACAGGTGAGGAGAACTGGAGCAACAGGCCCAATGGCTCACAGCTGGGAGTCCATCCTGGGCAGCCTGGCTCCTCAGTCCCTCCCTTACACATTCCATCATCTGCCTCCTCGAGGGGGTGACCCTGGCCCTCATCCCTAGCATCTAACCAGGGACGTTCCCCTGCCCCCACCCGGGCCTGGTCATGCTCCCATGCCTGCTGAGAGATGGGGCAGCAGAGGGTCCCAGGAGGGCACAGGCAGCCGCCTGGCTTATCTCTGGGTCCTGGTGTCCTGCTCAGTGCTCCCACTTCATGGGCACTGAATACGCAGTGTTCAGTTGTTGAGTTAGTGAAAGGCTGAACAAATGAATGAAGGAATGCAGGTAAGCAGAGGCTCCCAGAGGCAGCAGGCTGACTGCCACGGCCACACGGCTCTTGGCCTTGGACTCCGAGGCCCCTCCAGCTCTGATGTGACGGGACTCCATGAGGCCTGGTGGCCTTGAAGTCCTGTCACCTCTCAGCTGCTGGCTCCACAGCAGTTCCCCGGGACTTGGGCAAGTTCCCAGGTTGGCTCTGCACATCTTAATATTTCTGGTCCTTCCCTTCTGCCACGAGTGAAAGCAGGAATGCCATTTTTACTGGATCTTGGTCTCAGCCAAACTCAGGCAGGACAGTAAACCTATGACTACAAACACTGACTAATCCTTCATCCAGTACTGGCTCTGAGCCCAGGTAAGGGTCTGTGTCCAAATTTTCCTTTTTATAAAGACATCCATTGCACTGAATTAGGGGCCCACCCTACTCTATTGTGACCTCATCTTACTAATTACATCCACAACAACCCTACTTCCAAATAAGGTCACATTCTGAGGTATCAGGAATGAGGACTTGAACCTGTGAATTTTCAGGGGACATCATTCAACCCATAATAGGGGCTTTGGGGTCTAACCTGGTACTTTGTCAGAACCAGAAGGGCCACTGGGGACACCTGGACTCCATACCCTCATTTTCCAGGTGGGAAGGGACTTCTCAAAGTCCCATGAGTGAGCCAGGACCCGAACCCAAGTGTTCTCAAGTGGAATATTCACAATTCCCAGACTCTCCAGGCCACCAGGAGCACCAGAGGGGGTTCCCCCAGCACAGGGCTGGGAAGGGTGGCCCAGGAGCTCTGGGGCTGGCATGGGGCGTAGGTAGGGGAGCGGTTTCTGAGGCCTCAGTGAGTCTGCAGTGGGCCACGCAGCTAGGTCATGTGCCAGGATGATGGTCCCAGACCCAGCCACGTGGAGTCCCCCCCAGCCCCACACTGTGTGGCAGGTCCCGAGAGGCCCCCCTTCCTGCCCAGGCCACCTCCGGAGGACACCACAGAAGGAGGAAGGGGGGCCAGGTGAGGCAAGGCCGCTCCCAGAGGCCTCCTGGGCCAAAGCCAAACTGAAGCCCCAGAGGGTGGGCTCTGGAGAGAAAGAGTGACCCCAGACTCACTTGCCTCGCTGGCTGTGACAGCCTCCCGGCCAGCCTCCCTGCCTCTTCTCCTGTCCACCAGCCAGAGGGCATAGCAACCAGCCACTTCCAACACTTCCCTCTACTTCCCATCAATGGAGATAAACCCAAGGCCCACACCATCTAGCCGTGCCCTCCCAGAGTTTGCCTCCTGCCATGGCCCTCTCTGGCTGCACAAAGGCCTCCTCTCTGGGTTCCCCACCAGACCAACCCCTCTCCTGCCTCCAGGCCTCGCACATGCTATTCCTGCTGCGAGAACAGCATTCCCCCAACTGTTCACTGTTCACTTGCCTGGCGCCTCTGCTGCTTCAGGATCCTGTGCCTTCGAGAGACCTTTGCCGACCAGCACACCCCATGCCCAGGAGGTCAGGCTCTCACGCGCCTCCCTGTTCCCCCCTAGAACCCTCAGCATGATGCATGATTATAAGCTCCCTACTTGTCCACTTGACTAACTCTGACTCCCACTACAGACTATAAACTGAGGGCAGGGTCACATCTCTACGGCACGCACACAGTAGGTGCTCAGTAAATACTTGGGAGACAAACGTCTGCAAGGCAGGAGAGCTGGGAGAGCTCCTCAACCTTCGCTTCCTGGCCAGATGACCTCCAGCTCTGCCCAGAGGAGCCAAATAACCTTACGTCTGGAGAGGGTTCTAGCCTTGGAAAGAGGACACTTGGGTTCGGGTCTCGGCTCACTCATGGGACTTTGGGAAGTGCCTTCCCACCTGGGAAATGAGGGTGTGGAGTCCAGGGGTCCCCACTGGTCCTTCCGGTTCTGACAAAGTATCAGGCTCCAATCCTGGGCGGAAAGCCAATGATTAGACCCCAAACCCCCTATTATGGGTTGAGTGATGACCCTGCAAAATTCACAGGCTCAAGTCCTCATCCCCAATACCGCAGAATGCAGCCTTATTTGGAAGGAGGGTTATTGCAGATTTAATTAGTTAAGATGAGTCATCCTGGAGTAGTGTGGGCCCCTAGTCCAATAGGACACAGGGAGACAGCCACGTGAGGACTGGGGTCTGCTGCCATAAGCCAAGGAAGCCCAAAAGCTGGGAGAGAAGTCTGGAACGTGGAACAGATCCTTCCCTCATGGCCCCCTGCCAACACCTTGATCTTGGACTTCTGGCCTCCAGAATGTGAGACAATACATTTATGTTATTTAAACTCAGTTGGTGGGGGCGCTTGGGGGGCTCAGTCAGTTGAGTGTCTGCCTTTGGCTCAGGTCGTGATCCCAGGGTCCTGGGATCGACACCCACATCGGACTCCCTGCTCAGTGGAGAGTCGGCTTCTCCCTCTACCTGCTGCTCCCCCGCTTGTGCTCGCTCTCTCTCCCTCAGACAAATAAATAAAATCTTAAAAAAAAAAAACTCAGTTGGTGTCATTTTGTTATGGTGGCCCCAGCCATCTGATACACCCCCTCAACGCCTCACACCCTGGTGCCCAAACTAAGTCAGGAACCAAGGGGCAAAAGGCGCAGGGGAGCCCAGAGTGGGGACCGGGGGGCCAGAACGGGGCAAGGCAGGGCTCACAGAATTCAGTGGGAGCCCGGGGGGGGGGGTCCCTTTGGAACCCATGTCTAAACCTCCAAAAATCAGAGCCCGTATTTACATTTACACGCATGCCATGTCTGTCGGTAAGAGGGATTTTTTTTCCCTCCCTCTTCCCCCTTTAATTAAAAACTATAAATGCCTTATCAAAAGCTAATTAAAAATACCAACACAGTGCCAAGTGGCAAAAAAATAGCTCAGGACAAATATCCGTTTATAACCCTGCAACAGGCAGTGATGACACAGCAATCAGAGGCTCTTGGGAGGGAGGGAGGGAGGGAGAGAGAGAGGAGGGAGGGGGAGAGAGGGGAGGGAGGGGGAGAGAGGGGAGGAGAGAGGGGGAGGAGGGGGAGGGGGGAGGAGAAGGAGGGGCCTGCCGGATGCCAAGCCTCAGAGGCCTCAGCCCTCTCTGGGTGCCCTGGGGGCGGCTGCCCTCCCCCCAGCACAGATCTTGGAACTGGGAGCTGAGCAAGCCACAAGGGGACCGGGATCGCTGCCCTCTGTGTGGCTGTGCCCAGGCCGTCTCCCCTCCGGGGGCTCAGCTTCAGCAATTCCCCTGGGTTGTGGTGAGAACTCAGAAAACGTGCACACAGTAAGCACCTGAACGTTTCTGGTGCACAGCAGCTCCGACCCCACCAGCCTTGCCCTCCAGACATCACACTCTGCACCATCCATGGCTAGTGGCTCGATAACATCACAGGTTCAAATGCTTAACGACATTAAGCACGCACTCTGCCAGGCCCTAGGCTTTGCCTTCGCTGGGTGGTTTAACCCACTGGGACCCACGAGCCCTGGGATGACCCAGGCGCAAAGCAATCGCTCACCAGTGGACACAGCCATCGAAAGGGCAGTGAAGTGACCCTGGACCCCAGAGTCTTTGTGACCCCAGAGTCCCTACTCTTGTAGAGTCTTCTGCCAATGGGGTGAGCTGCCTGCATAGCCATGAGCACCCCATCCTGCGGGGACCCCAGTGGGGATCAGGGATCTCCAACTACCCCCAGATTCCCTGATTTGTTTCTGAGCTGCCTCCTTGGCCTGCCTCCTTGGCCTGCCTCCCACCACCGCTCTGGTACAGGATGCAGCTCCCAAGCAGCGCCCAGGGCTACCGCCCACCACCCCCAGCATCCTCACCACTGGTCCGGGGGTAGGCGGCGAGGGTCCCATCCTGCAGACCGGCAAGCAGATGGAAGGCGCTGTGGCACAGGCAGAGCACAGCCTGTGGGCCGGGGCTCCTGCAGGTGGCCAGACACTGGGTACCCGTGTCCACACTGCCATAAACCAGGATGCTGTGGGGGAGACCTGAGTGACTCACAGAGCTCCCCACCCCCACTGCCCGAGGGCCCTCCCGAGGAGGGGCCTCCCTCCCCTGTCAAGAGGCCTTTCTTCCGCCCTTCAGGAGCCTGGACTCGCCCAGGGTCTTTTGAGGATGGCGCCCTCCCCACCCCTGCCCCAGGGAGAACTGCAGGGGGCAACGGTGCTAAGAAGACTGTCTTCAGCACCACACAGACCCAAGTGGGAACCCAGACATGTCGCCTTCCCTCTGACTGACCCCAGGCTGCTACCCCTCAGGTTCCCCCCAAAATGGGGCAATGATGCCGGCCTCACGGCCACAAAAAGAAATGAAGCACCAACGCGCGCCTCCTCCCCAGGCCCCTCACCTGCCATCCTGGAGCCCAAGGCAGATGGTCGGATGCACTGCAGCCGAAGGGTCAGTGGCCACATGGCTCTCATCTCCACTCTCCCCCTCCTCTGGCTCGGGAATGTACTCCATGCAGAGCACAGGGGCTGCCAGCGGGAAGGACTTGACCGTGCGGGGCGAGGGCCGGTTCAAGGAGAAGATCTCAACCTGGCCCCCTGCACCTTCCTGCCCACCCCCGACCTGCAGCAGAGACCCAGAGAGGCCATCAGGCACAACCACCAGGGCGGGGACAGAGCTCGGCGCCTGCCTTCCCGGTGACCTGTCCCAAACTTCTACTCGTACTGCGGTTGGGCCTCGGGAGGAGCATCCCCTCTCCTGCCCCCACACATCCCGCTGTCCCTGAAGGTCACTCTTCCCCAACTGCCATGGCAACAAGTTAGATTCAGGGCCCAAAGGAACTCAGGTAAGGAGCTAAGGTAGACCAGATACCCAGTCAGCTCTCTGTCTCCCCAGATTGAGAGTAAATTTCAACCAACAAATAGTGAACATACATCTGGTCCTTTACAATGTCCTTCTCTGTCTTTTTCACTATTCTACCTCTATGTTTAGCCAATGGTAAGCACTTAATATATACTTGCTGAACAATGAGCAGACGGATAAATGGATGGATGGAAAGAAGGGATAGAAGAATGGGTAGATAGATGAACAGGTGGATGGATGATTATATGGATAAGTGGACAGATGGATGGGTGGATGAATGATTATACAGATAAGTGAATGGATGGAGGAATGGATGGATGGATGATTATATGGATAAGTGAATGGATGGACGATTATATGGATGGATGGATGGATGGATGGATGGATGGATGGATGGATGGATGGATGGATGATTATATAGATAAGTGAATGGATAAATGGATCAATCATGGATGGATATACCATATGCTAGATACTAGGGAAACTGAGGAACAAATCACCCTCGGAGAGGATATTTGGGATGGACTCTGAAGGGTGAGCCAGAGTTTTCCTGCCTGCATGCCTGGAGACAGGAATAAGCCAGAGCTGGAAGGTAGCCAGAGGGGGGTGAGGTGGGACCTCAGGAAGTCTCTGGGAGAACATAGTCTGTACCACAAAGAACATAAGGGTGCCTATCTGAATGGAGAGAGGCTCTGCCAGGAATCCCAGGGGAAAAAAGGCAGGCACAAGAGCTGGGCAATAACCGGCCCTGCTTCCTGACCCCCCGGGTAAAGACCCTCCCACCCAGATACTCTGCACAGCTTCGCTCATTTCCTTCATGGCACATGACCATTCGCAAGAGTCATGCTCACTTCTCTGTCCCCTGGTTTTCTGTCGTCCCTGGTGAAACTGCGTCTGCCAACTCTAAGCACAAAGCCTGGCACAGAGGGTCCCAGGAAGACTTCCTGGGTGAAGGTGCACATGATGGAGGCCAGCAGGCAGGCAGGCCCCTCTTCCCGGGGCTGCCCTCCATGCTTCTGTCCTGAGGCCCAGAATCCCTGGCTGAGCTCAGGAGGGACTTACCCAGAGGTAGCCCTGTGGAAGGGACGTGCTGACCGCTGAGAAGCCCAGCAGGGGACAGCTGACAGGACTGTGGACCAGAGCCCCAAGCTGTGGAGACATAGAAGGTACACATGGGGCTAAGCATCGAGGTGTCGGAGATGCCAACGTTCAGCAGCAGGACCTCTGTCCACTACCTGTGGGGGTTGTTAAACCTACAGATTTCTTGGCCCCACGCAGGTCTCCAGTGAGAATCCCTGGGGACCGGAAAGCAACAGGGTTCACAGGATCTCCAGGCAATACCTATGCACTCACATTTAACCAGCGCTCTCCTAGAACCTTCTGGCTAGGAGGCACCTGAATGATACCCTGGGCCAGCCACCGATTTTTCAAACTAAACAACATCTGGATAAGATTTAATGAAAACCACTAACACCCACTCTGCTTTATTTTACAGATGGGGAAATGAGGCCCACAGCGGACACATGATTGCCCTAGGCCACAGGGAGATGACGACAGGGCCTGGCCTGCACCAGCCTCCCTCCTAGGTCTCCCTGCATTCCTCCAGAGAAGAACACTGGAGGAAGGAAGGGGTGCTGGACATCTGGTTCCACCCTCAACAGCGGAACCACTCTGCAGACAAGCCCGCCAGCACCAGAGGGCTGAGGGGCTTGTACAGGCTGCCCGTGGGGGCCAGGGGCTCCATCTGTAACCGGCTGTCGTCAAGAGCTACTGGCTGCTTGCTGCTCCTGCATCTGCTGCCCCAAACCCCAGGCCAGATGGCTCTCTGGGGCCTGTTCTCTGAGCTAGACCCTGCCAGTTTGTCTCTCTGGCCAGGACAGCAGTGCGAGGAGGTGGCCTGGCCCTGTCACGGACCCTGCTGGAACCCCTGGCCAGCAGGAAGGGGAAGGAGGCCGAGAGGGGACGGCTGGAGGTGCCCCAAGGAGGAATGCAGCCACCCCTGGACCTTTGCTGGGCAGGTGCTGCCCTCTGCCGGCGCTGCAGGCCCTGGCTGGCCCCAGCCCTGTGCGGATGTTCTAACAAAGTATCCAATGGCTGTAGGTGAGGAAGCCCAGAGAGGTCACCTCATCCAGTCCCCTCAGTGAGGAGCTGGCAAATTTGAAGTTCGGGGCGTGGGGAGGGGAGGCGGGGGACACAACTGGCTCAAGGTCACACAGCAAGTTGGCAGCAGAGTCAAGGCTGGAATTCCGAGTTCAACTCCTGGTCCAGCGCCCTTCCCACTCTAGTTAAATTCTACCCAGAGGCCAGGCTGCCCCAGCGCAGGCCTCCACGTTCCCGGCTCCCACTTCTGCGAGGCTGGGAGCACAGGTCCAGGTGCCCAGAGAAGGAGGCTCCCCTCGCCCTGACCCCTGCACCCCCGAGCACCCTCAGTCCCCCGCTCCTAGTCACTTTGCTTCATGGTGGGCCACATGCAGCTGAGGCTGCCCAGCCCCTCCTGCCAGGGACCCGATGTTTCCATGGCAACTCCAGGGGGTCCGGATGTCAGCCGCGCCCACAGAGCCCAGGGCCAAAGTGATGGCAAAAACTCAAATGGCTCCCTGGACCCAGGAGTCCCATCTGTGCCAGGAAGCTGACGCTCCCAAATCAAGGTGCCCCAGGCAGTGAAGAGGAGAGTGGCTCAGGGCTGGAGGGCAGAGACAGGCTGTGGGCGCGGCCAGCCTGGGCTCCAGTCCCAGCTCAGCTGCTACCAGCCAGTGACCCCACAAGCCAGTTCCTCATGGTCATGGAGACCCTGAAGCCTCGCCAGGATGGTCGCGGGGACTGGAGAGGCAGACATAACGCACTTGGCACGGGGCCGGGCACTTTGTGTGGGACGTGCTGGCCCTCTATGTGCGCCACCTTGTCTTGTCGGCAGCGCCACGCCAGGAGGGGTGGGCTGGGGCAGAGCTAGGAGGCAGGGGACCCCACAAATAGCAAGCAGCTCTGGCTAAGGAGGGCCAGGACAGAGGCACTTGGCCAGCATGCAGAGGCCTAAGCAAGCCTGGAGCAGACCCTCTGCAGGGCTGGGCTGCAGCCCCCGGCTCCCTGAGGCGCTACATTGCAGAGCACCCTTGGCCCCCTTTCCCCAGGCCCGTGTCCCCAGGCAGGCCCCCAGCCTGGACCGCAGCTCACGGGGGGGGGGGGGGACACTTTTGCACTGAGCCGTCCCCTTGCCCTCCCGCCACCCCTCCAGGGACAGCCTCCAGCCTGGATGGGTGCCACCAGGGGTGCTGCTGGGGTGACAGTCAGCTTGGAAATCCTTTGGAACAGACACTCGCGTCTTCCTGGGGGCCAAAATGCCCTCCAATCTTTGTTTCCATCTCAAACTCTGCGTGCATGCCACGCATCAGGCTAGCCAGGGTCTGGCGTGAATCACACCGTGTGCTAAAGCAGATTCCCAGTGTCACACGGCTGGCATGGGCAGAGCTGGAGCTCCAGTCCAGGGATGGGTGCGCCCCGATGCTGTCCTCCTGAGGAAGGCCTCGGTGTGGCCCAGCCTGGGCGCCGGCCACCCATCAGCACAGAGAAGAGAAACGCTCCTTCCTACGGCCCCCACATCCTTGCTCCTTTGAGGGAGAGCACTCACCACACACCCTCCTCTGACTAATAATACAATAGTACTAATCTCGTCTACACTGGGAGGGGGCTGGGGCCAGCGAGCCCTTCCCAGAGGGCACACTTAAGTCACCGGCTCCCATTAGGCCAGCCGCAGAGCCCGAGTCCGGGGCCCCTGGGACAGGGCCTGGGGAGAGGCAGCGGGCCAGGAGGCAGGCCCATGCAGCGGCGGACATGCTCACATCTGTTCCCAGGGTGGTTGGACAAGGCCTGGGCACTCCGAGGCCTGCAGTCATCTGGGCTGCCCGCACAGCTGATGGGGCACATCTGCCCGGGCTGGGGTGGGTTGGCAGGTGCAGAAGGAGTGGAAGTGGTGTCTTGGGACCCAGCAAATGGGAACATGCAGGCTCTAGTAGGTCCCTCAGGAGCTCCACAAGCTCGTTGTCCCAGAAGACCACTCACATAGGAGGCTCCTCAGGAGATGGCAAGCAGGGGACCTGGAGGTTGCTGAGGATGCTTCCGGCTGCTACGTCCCTAGGCCTTGAGAATTCCATATGAGGAGCTTCTCAGATGTGTGCCCCCAGGTATGGGGTGGAAGACAGCTCCCCAGTTGGGTGGGTTTCTTTCAGGGAAGCCCTGGAGGCAGCGGCTTGTCTGTGACCTCACCACCCAGGAGTGACCTGTCAGGCCATGGTCTGGGTCCCATATTCTCAAAAGGACTAAGGCCACCGGGGGGAGACAGAAGTCACCCCGGGGTCAGCCTTCTCCACAGGATGTCCTAGGGCCAGGTGACCACAGGCAGGGTGGACCCTGAAAAATCCCAGCTCCATGGACTCCCTGGGAACGCCCCACCCCATGCTGGGAAGGAGCACACAGGACTCAGCAGGCCTCCCCATTAATGAATGAGGTCTGAAGGCCTACAAAGGCCGGCTTCCCTGAGCCCTACAGAAATGAACAGCATCTGGCCTCCCCTGCCAGAACGAGTCAAGAAGACCCTCCTTCCCCAGTGAGTGTGGGCAAGCCCCGCCTCGGAGGGTCTGAGGGCAGTGGGGAGGACCGGAGTTACTGGTGGTGAAGTGCCTAGAACAGAGCCTGGCAGGGACACCTCCTGAAAGCACTCGCCACCACACTGTTGTTGCTGCCACCCTGGTCGCTGGCCACCGAGCCATGCTGGGAAGCTGACCACACCCCCTAAATCAGGCTGTGGCACAGGGAACATTCCAACACCCCCTGACACCACGTCCGGGTGCACAAGCTCAAGAGCTGGGTATGTCCTTCCTGCCCCCCTCAGCCCCTGTCTGAACTCTCATCAGTGTGGCCAGCCCTACCCCTGCACAGTCCCCGAATGCCTTCCCATGTCCCCTGCCCCGTCCTCTCCTCTAGGCTCTAGGAACGGGGTGAGAAGAAGAGTGGGGTCAAAACACCCCAACATCCAAAGGAATATTATAACACAACTTTTGGCAATAAAAATTACTGCAAAAAAATTCATGATGAACAATCAGTAAGATTTTAAATAAACACAGAAACGGACACTGCATTGCACAGCCCTGCCCCACCCTAATCCCAGCCTGTTACCCCAAAAAAAGCAGCCAAACCAAGGCCACAATTTGCTGATTTGATGTTGTAAGTATTGCATTAAAATTTTATTCATCGTGATGCTTAGGATTAGGTGAGTGCCCCACTCGCCTTGCCCCAGCCTGGCCCTGCCTCCACCCGCACCAAGTCCTGCCGCCACTCAGTGGGACCCCCGCACGGAGCACTGTGTTGGTCTCTCAGTCCCCAGTCTTGCTCTCTCTGGGGCCACAGTTCACTCGCTCACACCCCAGCTGAGAGGACCAGACGATCTTTCCAAAATGTGCATCAGAGGGTGCTGGTCCCCTGTGTGGAGCCATCCTTGGGGTGTCATTGCCCTGAGAATGGAACCCAACAGCGACCAGCCCAGCAAGCTGGCGTGGACCGGCGCACCCACATCAGACCTGATCCCCAGCCTCTCCTCCCGGCTCACCGAGCTGCAGCTTCCCAGACTGCTCCTGACTCTGTGTTGTGCCGTCTGTTCGGGATATTCCTCCCCTGGGCCCGCAAGGGGTCAGAGACGTCTTGCCACTCAGGTCCACCACTTCCTCCAAGAGGCCCTCTCGGCCCCCTAACCATGGAGGGCCATCCCTATATCCATCCCAGCTGATATAACACACAATCACTCTTCTGCGTTCCCTCTTGTTTGCCGGGGTATTGCCGTCTCTCTCCAGACTGAAAGCTACAGGACTGTGGGGACCTTGTACGTTCCGGTCACCACCATACACCCAGTGTCCCGCACAGGGCCTGGCAACATTGTAGGTGCTCAAAAATTATATGCAGAACAGACAAATGAACGAACTCATGGCTGAACTGACATCTCAAGGGTATGCACTTTTCGCTGTTTGGAGCCCCAATCTACAGCCCAGTCAGCTTGTCTCTTAGGGTTTATGTATCTAGGTCCCGGGCCTGCGCCTCCCCCTCCCCAGAGCTCACATGAGCTCCTCTCCTAGGGAGGAGGAGAGGCAGTAAGGACTCCACAGGGAGGGCTGAGCGCGGGCAGGATGTCAGGGACGGGTGACAGTGGAGGGAGTGTGCTAGTGGTGGAATCGGGCGCAGCAAGGTGCCAATTCCTGGACCCATCACTACCGGCTGTGTTTTTAGAAAATCATGTCACCTGTCTGAGCCTTAGTTCCTAACCTGGGAAAGAGATCTAGAAACATCCTCTTGTGGGCTTCTTATAAATACCAAAACAAGAGAGTGGTGGCAAAGCACTGGGGGAATGTAGTAGGTGCTTGACAGATGGAGGCAGGACAGCCATGGGGCCAGAGCCGGCTCCTGCCTGGCAGCATCAGACGGGGGCCAAACCACAGTCTGGCAGAGGTACTCAGGCATATTCCGGCCTCTCTTCTGAGCTGGAGTCATGCCATCAGCTGATGAGATCACTGCTACTTGTTAGCTCTTGAAATCACAGAATTTTCTGCTCACTTGACCCACAAAGGGCATCTGTCCCCATATTTTCGGTAGGGAAGCTGACTCCTAGAGCACCAAAACGTCTTGACCAACTCCATCGGTAAGAGGTGGAGAAGGTGGGACTGCACCCTGGCCCTCTCCTGCTGTGGGCACAGCCTGGAAACCCTGGTTCTTCCACGAGCCACCTTCGTGGTGGGCTCAGCAAGATCCATTCCACTCACCTGCAGGCTGAGGCCCCGGGAAGAGAACGCAGGGATGCAGCAGGCCAGGATGGGGCACCAGAACGGGGCTTTGCTCTTCTTGTCCTCATCCGGACACAGCCAACCCGGCTGGTTCTCCTCCCCTACAGCAAGAGGAAGGAGGCAGGTGAAGCTGGTCAGAATCCGAGGACCAAGCGGGCAGTGAGCAGCCCTGCCGAGCCCAGGGGGCCGCCCCCAGCCCCATGCCTGTCCAGCCAAGATGAAAACCGGCCTTGCTCCATGGTCATGGCCGTGGGTCCAAGGCAGCGAGTTGGGAAACCTAAGAGTTGAGTCCTGGCTCACCCACCCTCTCACTGAGCAGCCTTCTGCAAATTCCCCCAACTCTAAGCCTCGATTTCTTCACCCATGAGACAGGGGCATAAAAATGCCTTTGTCTTGAGATCGTTATGAGGATCCAGTGAAATAGTAGATGAGAAAGAGTTTCAAAAATGTTGTGATGCTGAGCACAGTCCAGGCCCTGCTGCCTTGACCTAGAGGTCTAGAGGTGCTTCGGGGTGGGGGGGATGGCCAAAAACAAGCCAGAAGACAAAGTGACACAAACATGCTGCTCTTCACCTGGCTCTGATGCTGCTGGTCAAGAGGATGACTCTCTCCTGCTTCCTTTGAGACCCACTCTGAGACCCAAGTGGTCATCTGCCTCCACGTTCCCAGTCTAGCTGTACACTGAGGTCCCAGGGGCCTGTGACAAGTGCAGGTGCTCAGACCCTGGACTCACATCTGGACACCACTGTGTTCAAGAGCATCTACTAAACCACACTCTGCAATGCCTCCTTCACATGGGTCAAGGCTCCCTCACACGCCACCACCTCCAAGAAGTCCTCCCTGACCACCCTGGCTATGATGGCCCCTCTCTCAGAAACCAGTCTAAAGACCACATCTTATTTCCCACATAGCCTTCACCACAATCTAGAATCACTTTGTCTATCTCCTTGTTCACTGTCTCTCTGCATATGTCTCTAGAACATAAGCTCAGGGCAGCAGGACCTGGCCTGTCTTATTTGCTGAGGTCTCCCTGGCACCAAGCCCACTGCCTGCACATGGTGAGTACTCAGCAAGCATGGGTTGAAAGGATGAATGACAGGAGGGCATGAGTGAGCGGGTAAACATCCGTCCCAGAGGATTCTCCCTGCTCAAGAGCCCATCCTTCTCTGCACTCCTACGGGGCCCACCTTCTAGGAACCCCGACAGCCAGGGCAGGGCATGGTGAAGACACCTACTGTGTGTCCACGCACAGGCACAGGTCAGGTGCTACAGGTGTCCCGGGTTCTCGTTTTCACAGTAACCAAGCTCAGTGAGAACCACGATTTTCCCTTTATGGACAATGAGACCGACACTCGAGGATGATTTAATTGACTAGTTCATGTGCACGGCTGGTGGCAGGGTCCAGATGAGGACCTGGGTCTGCTGGACCCCAGTGCCGTCTCCTGGCAACCAGCCCCCACGCCCCCCACCCCCACTGAGGGGCATGACCGACTCTGGACAACCAGGAGGTTGTTGCCCTGGAGGGGGAGAGCCAGAGGATGGCACAGGGCGCCCTGGGCAAGAAGGGTCACTCAACACAATGACATCAAGCTCAAGGGTACCTGGAGCTTCAGGGATGGGAGGAGACGTCTTCCACAGGAGAGGTGTGACGACAGCCTTCCCACCCCTCACGTGGCCACTCAGTGGCCAGGAGGAAGCAGGGACTCGGGCCCAAGCTGGCCCAGCCGAGCAAGGGTCAGCTCTGTCCGAGGGGGCTCACCAGTCACAAGGGGCCTCCAGACCGGCTTCCTGCGCTAACCACTGCCCCCCACAACAATCAGAGCCATCCTGCTACACTTCCACTGGATGTCGCCGTTCCCACAACCATCAGGTCCCATCCACGTGGAATCAAATCCAGACTTTTCCAGGACAGTGAGGATGATCCTTCCCTCCCAACCTCAGCGCTCGGTCCCAGGCTCCACTGAGCGAGGCTTTCCTCAGCCACTTACACGAACGAGCCCGGGACGTTCGCTCCGCTTGGAGGGTTGTCCTCCCCACCCCCGGGGCTGGCTCCTCTCCTCCCCGAGGCTTAGGTTATTTGTCCACCTTCTGGGAGCGGCCTCGACTGACCACCACCCACCCCCACCCCTCCATCGCTTTCTGTCTCAGCCCCTGTTGGTCTATCATGGCCCTGAACACAATTTCCGGCTCCTTTACTGGCTTGCCTCTTTCTTCCTGTGTGTGCACGAGTGTGCCTGTGCGTGTGCCTGTGCGTGTGCATGTTGGTCTGTGTGTGTGTGTGCCCACAGGCTCCCCAACCTCGCCTGTGTTCTCTATGAGGAATGTCAATCATACCTCAACAACGTGGCTTTTAACAACACCACTGCCACCAGAGAAAGGCGGCATCCCAGTGCCGGTCGTGGCACGAGGAGCTGGGATGAGGTGGCACGGGAGGATGCTCTCTGAGAAGTGAAAGACATCCGAAAAATGTCAGGCGTTACGACGTGAACAACCTGCTTCAGTAGAAGCTCCGGCCCACGTGCCCAGGGCACCCACCCCACCAGCAGTCCAGCGGCCGCACGGTGAGCTCACCCCCCAGCGCCGGGCCCTCCACCCCACCAGGTGCTGGAGGCAGCATCACAGGAAAGGACAGCTCACCAAGGAGGCAAGGCCATCGCAGAAAGGACAGCTATGGCACAGGACAAGCACCATCACACAGAATGCCCACGTGCACCACACCTCACAGTTTATAAAGCTCTGTCCCCCATGAGGCCTCATTTCATCCTCAGGGCCACCAGGAGGGGTGGGTGTTGGCATCCCCCTCCTACCCAGAGAACCGGAGGCTGGGGGACATCCAAGGCCGGGCCCAGGAGGCAGAGAACGGACCGAGCACGGGGTGACAGCCCAGACAGGCCACCCTGTGGGGCAGCACCCTTCCCCTGGGCAGGTGCAGACATCACAGCGCTGCACTGCCTCTTGGACAAGCCCCTGGACGGCGAATAAAGATGGGTGGGACTTGAGTCTGCCCTGCTTTCAAGGAGCTTATGATCAGGCCCCGACCACTGAGAGCCCAAAAGACGGCTCAAACGCAACTGCCCACCCCCCCGGGGCGCCACCTCCTTCCCGGAGCTCAGCCCGTGAACATAAAGCCCCCTCCATTACCACGCTGCCCGAGCTCCTTTCCTCTCCTTCCCTCCACACCCACAGCCCATCAAGTCCTGGCAATTTATTACGATATATATTTTTTAATGATCTGACCTTCTCCTTCCAGATGGTGCCTTCCCTGCCGGCGATCGGGGAACGTTAAAGGAAAATGGAGTTGTAGCTCCCCATCTGCCACTGCCATTGTTCCTGTCACAAAACCAGGGCGGCTGAGACCAAATTAGAAGGCTGTTGCAGTTGAAAATTGAAAGCCCGCTTGGGATAAGTGACATTAAGAACTGGCACCATCGGCAGAGCCGAGATTTCCAATTGACACTAAGTGGGGGCTTATTTAGCGCCCAGCTCTGTTTGCCAGCACCCACTGAACACAGGAGCACCCCGTGGGGTGGTGGGGGAGGCTCCAGGGCTGGAGGCCATGGCCCCTCCTGCTCCCCTCCCACCTCCGCACCCCCAGAGCCACCCCGCCCGTGGCAGGAGGCTGACTGTGGCAGCTGGGCCCCAGCTGATCCCAACTCAGCCTCCGGCTCCCTCACTGTGTGACACAGAGCCAGAAACCGAACCTCTCTGAGTCTGCTGCCTCCTCCAGAAAATGGGGGAAATTATTCCAACCATTCAAGGGTCACTGTGAGCGCTAGAGGGAAAAAAAGACTGAATGCCTAGTATATGCCAGGCCCTCAAGAAATAGTGAGATCAATGTCCTGGAGGTGAGGAGTCTGCCTAACTGCAGGCTTGAGGGCGGCCACCCCACCTGCACCGGGCTGAGACGCTGGCCCTGCCCTGCTCCTCGATCCCAACCTGCCTCCCGAAGTCCTCCTGTGCTCAGTCCCAGTGCTGCACTTTTCCTGCCACCGTTAAGAGCAACACTCCGGGGTGGCAGCCCGGACCAGCCTTCTCTACGTTCCAAATCCGAGGCTGCCCTCAAAGGCCCTCTTACACCTCCAGCGCCACAGAGATGCCACTGGCCACGGCCACAGACATGGGGGCTGGCGGGACATGGGCACCCTCCTTTTCCAAACACCGGCTCACAGAGAGAGAGAGAGAGAGAGAGAGAGAGACACCGGTGCCCAGGGAAGCCTGGCGAATGGCCGGGGTCACCCAGCTGAGGTAAAACCGCTCCCAAGGGCAGACCCACTGCTGCAGCCTGACGGCCTGGGCAGGTCCTAGCGCCCCCATCTGCACTGGTTGAGAGTCAGTGGAAAGGACAGCTGGGGCGCACTCAGGACCACGCTCAGGATCCATCACTGGATCGTCGTCAGAGGGAGCTCGGGGGTCACTATGAGGACTGAGGGCTGGACAACTAGCCAAGTCCGAGGCAGCAAGGGAGGGCCCCCCGGGGCGCACCCTGTGAGGATGTGTCCCTGTGAGCTTGGGACCAGCCCACAGCCTGCCCGGCCCAGGTCCTTGGGAAGGTAGGAATAAGGAGGGGTGCAGTGGGAGCGGCTCCGGGGAGCCAGGAGCTATAAGAGCCACGAACGCAGCACTTGAAGAGCTTCAGGTGAAGGGACACAGGCAGGGAGTGCTGGAAGCCCACAGTCATGCCTCTTCCTTCTCTGGGGCTTTCCATCTGCAACCCTTCCCTGGAGCCTTTATGAATAGGAGACTGGCAGAGGGGTGGGAGGGTGGCCCGGCCCGGCCCTGTTCTGCACTGAATCACGTGTGACCTTAGACCAGTCATTTCCCCACCAGTGAGATGCAGGCACCCCCTTGTCCTAGGAGCTTTTCCCACAACCCAGGCACTGGCCATCCCAGGAGCCTTCCACACTGTCTCCCCGTATGTTCACAAGAGCCCCGTGATGGGGGCCCTGGCATTATTCCCACTTTCCGATAGAGAAAGGCACCTAAAGGCTAAATCATTTGCCTGAGATCACAGAGCTGGGAAGGGACAGAGCCGGGAACTGACCCCAGACAGCCAGGATCCATTTCACGAGGCCCTAAGATCCCAAAATGTACGAGGGGAGAGGACCATTGGAGCTCTTGTCCGACTCACCTCCCAGAAGCCTTTCCCCAGACCACACGGCACAGTAGGGGCCCCACTGGGATGTGAACGGGTCCCCAGATTCCCCAGGGCACCCTGCCCTTTCCTCCCTAGCGGCAGAACTGACCCCCCCATTCCGGATCCCAGGCACCCCCCAGTCCAGCCCTCTCTTTCGTCAGTGTTTAGTGGATTATGATCTCCGTACGTGGTAGTCAGGAAAAGAGAAATAAAAAAAAAAAAAAAAGGAAAGAAAGAAAGACAGGAATCACATCCTTTGTAAATAAATGTTTTTAACATATTCTATTACTAACTGGCTCATATTATTCCCGGCTCCACCCGATCAAACACTGCAGATTAAAAAAAAAAAAAAAAAAACCTGGCAAAATAAAAGGAACAAATTACTCAAGCCCCAGGGGAACCCAGGCATTCAAATAAGATTTCCAATGACCCTCCTTCCATTAAAAACTTTTGCTGCAGGGCGCCTGGGTGGCTCAGTCATTAAGCGTCAGGTTGTGATCCCCCGGTCCTGGGATCAAGCCCCTCATCAGGCTCCCTGTTCTGCGGGAAGCCTGCTTCTCCCTCCCCCACTCCCCATGCTTGTGTTCCCTCTCTCACTGTGTCTCTCTGTCAAATAAATAAATAAATCTTAAAAAAAAAAAAAAAAACTTTTGCTGCAGCGAAGCCACGTGGAGACAACAAATCAGCTGAGCACAACACCAGCAGCCGAGAGAGAGGAGAGGCTCAGTCGGCCCCTCTCCCTCCGGTGTCAAGCCCCACTCGGCAGAGCAGCCGGGCCTCCAACCGGAGACTGACCTGCCTTTAGAGCAGGTGTACAATCGGCTCAGGCGTGCCCAAGACTGGACTGCTCCACGGGCCGGCCCAGAGCCACGTCAGCCTTCCCTGGGGCTAGAATTCCCGCGGTCGGCTGCCAAGGCTGGGGCTGTCTCGGCTTAAAATCCTCTCTCCTCCCTCTGCAGCTCTCCTGGTCACCTGGAAACATCCAGCGGAGACTTGTGCCACGTCAGCACACCAGATCAAGGCCTCTGACTCTGGCTCCCCCAAAGCCACCACCTCCTCCCCATTTCCTCCTGCCTCCCCATGCCCTCTCGGCACAGTGGGCAGAGCCATCCACTCAAGTGGAAACCAGATCAGGATGCTGCCTAGCTCTCACTGCCACAAGGAGCAGTTGCCCATCACGCTCAGAATAAGTTCCATACATCTCGCCCTGGCTTTCTGGAAAAGCTGCCCGACCTTCCCCCTGCCTACTTCTCTTCCCACGATTCATCAGCTCTGGCCACCACAGGACCTTTGCACTTGCTCTTCCGAAGCCTATACTGCTTTGCCCAGATCTCTGTCAGCTTCAGATGTCACTTCCCAAAGGCCCTCCCTGACAGCAGTCCTGACCCCCAGGCTCGGTGACAGTCACGTCACCCATCACTATCCCCTAAATGGCACCACCTCTCCCTGTTGATTGGTTCCTCATGTAATGTCTATCTGCCCCCCATAAATCATAGCTTCCCGGAGAGCAGGGATCTTTCGGTTTTTGTCATTGCTCTTTTCCCCATGCCCAAAATCAGTAACTCGTTCCATAATTATTTTTTTAATTGATGAAAGCCAGTGTCAAAGGTCCTGGCTTCTTTCCAGAAATGTCTCAAAACCTATAAGATCACACTAAAACCAATAATCAAACGAAAAATGTCCCTGCTATTGGCCAGAAGCAGCAAATGGGAATTCCAGTACATCACAGAAAATAGTAGCTCTGATGGGCAAGTACAAATAAAGTCATTACAACTTAACGAATGTGGTTTGCAGACAGAAACTCTCCCAATGTGGGGAAGCAGAGGGACAGTGGGTCCAGAGTGGGCTCTGGGGCTGACTGCCCAGGGGCTGAGCACCAGCTCTGCCCCTTCCTGCTGTGTGAGCTCAGGCAAGTTACTGCACCTCTCTGGGCCTCGGAGCCCTCCACTGTAAAAGGTGGTTGACAACAGAACCTACCTCTCAGAATTATCATCAGTGTGAAAAGAAAAAGACGTGTGTAAAATGCTTAGAAAAACGTCTGCCATGTAGGACGCGCTCTGTAAACATCGTCTATTTATATGATCATTACGGGGTGCATGGGACAAAAAAAAGAGGCCCTGGTTGAGAATCAGTTTACTCTAACCTGCATCAAGGTTTCGAGCATACTCAGCACTACCTACGTTTAGAATACTTCCACCCCACTGAAAGAAAGCCCCTCAGCAGCCACGCCCTAACCACCCTCCCCCAGGGCCCTGATAACCACTTATCATCAACTGCCATCACTTTACAGACGGGGAAACTGAGGCTCAGACAAGGGCAGGGACTTGTCCAGGGTTACTAGGCAGAGCCTCAGGACTCAGAACCCTGGCTCCCGTGTTCCTCCACGGCACCGCCTACCTCCAACTCAGAAGCCCCCTGCCCCCGCGCATCCACACATGCACACCCCAAGCCTCCCTGCTCCGCACCCGTCCCCTGAGGCACTCTCCCCAGGGCTTTACTCACGGAGTCCGATCTTGGCCAAGTGCAACCTGTTGACCCAGGAGATCTTGCTCAGGGGGTTGGGAGTGATGAAGACCACCATGAAGCTGATGGGGCGGCCGGACCTGCGGTGAGAGGGCGAGGAGTGTGAGTGCCCAGAACAAGCGCCTGGTTCTTCCCTCAACCACGGGCACCAGCCATGGTGCCAGCTCAGCTCGGAGCATCAGAGCGGGGCCAGAAAGCCTGGTGGCCCCCCCAAAGCCTCCATCCCCTGGGGGAAGAGTCCCTCCACCCACTGTGGCCCCAGAATGGAGGTCCCTCCCTAAAGCCACCAGGCCACGCTCCCCAGCCCAGCCCCTGGCCCCTGGGCTTGGTGCCTAGCGACTCGACAGGCCAGGGCTCCCCAGTCAGACACACGTACACATCCGACTGGGAGCCTCTGCAGGGAGGAACAGGCTCCCGCGGGCCTGCTCCCAGCACCTGGCACAGTGCAGGTGCTCAGCAAATGCTTGCAGAATGGACACATGAATGAATGAGCTTGTGACAAGCTTGGACAGCTAGAGGTCACTGTTGTCACACTACTGTCCTCTCACCTTGAAGCAGCAGGGCCCCTCAGGGTCCTCTGGGGTCTGTTCTCCACCGGGCGGGGGGGGGGCATCCCAGGGGGTGGGCAGGGCCAGTGTTACTAACTCTCCCAAGGAAGAAAGGGGTGCAGGGGCGGGAAGGGGCTGCGTGAGGCCCCCTCAGCAGAGGAATGGCACATCAGCTGAGGGTCTACGATAGAGCACAAGTGCCAGGGTGGGCATTTGGGGGCAGGGGCCATGCTGCAGGGAGGCTGCGTCCATGAGGAGACCCAGGGCCTGTTCCCAGGGCTCTGCATCGTCTGGAGTGAGGGAAAAGGTCACAGCACAAATGGAACCAACCAACAGCAGAGCGTCTGGGTCCTGAGTCTCCTAACAGAGGACAGGCTTAAGCCAAGTATGAACCGGTCACTCACTCATTCATTCATTCATTCATTCATTCATTCATTGGATAATGAGCACCCCCTCCATGCCAAATGCTGTGCTGGGCAGGGCCCGCGGTGTGTATACACCCACGCCCATAACCACACTGATGAATGGGTCCGCTCCAGGTGCCCTCTCTCCGTGTCCCCCCACCACCCATCAGCGGTGGCCGCTCTCACTTGTCCGGTTTTCCAGGAAGCAGGAGCCTGAGACGACACTTGTTGGCCGAGTGGATTTCCTCCTCCTTCACCCGCATTAGCCTCTGCAGGGCCAGGCACCAGTCTTGAGCCACAGTCATGTTCAGATTCTAGGGTTGAGGAGGCCAGTGAGATCTCCATCCGGCCTGCTGGTTCCCCCAGAGCCACACAGGATCCTCGAGCATCCAGGGGGACCCCGGGGGGGAGAGGAGCTGGGGAGGTCCGGGAGCTCGACAGGGACCCCTGGCTCAGCCACAGCAGGCGGCCGGCTCCCTGGGCTGCAGGCCCACAGCAGGCTTCCCAACCCTCGTTCAGACCCCAGCTGGTACCCCTCCTGTGAGAGGGACACAACCTCCCAGCCAGCTTCCTCTCCAGCTTTGGGGGTCCAGGAAGGGGCTGTGAGACTGACTGGTCAGTATGCAGAGAACAAAACAATCACCACACAGCCAGACCCCACTTAACCCAAATCAGAGCTTCACCCCCGAACCAGAGGCCGCATACCAGACATCTAGGTAGCAGTGGGGAGTTTTAGCTGCTCCTCCTGCCTGTGGGATTCAGAAGCCAGGAGCATGCCTGGGGACTGGACTAAGACAGGAGCCCTCTCCCACTCCGCCTGCTGATCTAGGCATTGCCCGAGGGAGGAGCCCAGAGCCCAACAAAGCCAGGCCAGGGCTGGGTACCTGGTAGGTGCCGTGCAGTGTGCTGATGAGGAAGGTTATCTGCTCGACCACAGCCAGATCTTTCTGCAGGTCCTGCAGCTCCTGGAAGAGGCGCGGGGGGCCGAAATACACCTTATCTGGGTAGAGAAGAGACCCAACTCAACTTCAGGGTGGAGGAGGGGCTAATAAGGACCCAAGCATCCATTTACTGCATAAAAGAAGACCTGTCGCCCTGGAGATATGGCACTACAGACACAGAAGAGACATTACCAGGCTCTTGCCCTGGTGGAGTTCCCAGTCTGGGGGTGCGGGGTGTGGGGAGGAGGCACAGATCCAGTCACAGGTAGTCTAGCATCTGGGGTCCAGGCCACTCTCAAAGGGTCACAGGAGGTCAGAAGACTAAGAACCAACTGTGCCTGCAAGAACTGAGGAACCTTCACAGGGCCAGGCGTGTGGTGGGCATGCTGCCATAAAGGAGAACAGCATATGGAAAGCACTGTGGCTTGAGGAAGCCCACAAACAGCAAGGTGTTCAGATGTACTGAGGACCTACTGTGTGCCAGGTTCTATTCCAGGTGTTGGAGAGAGAGCTGTAAACGAGACAGAAAGGATCGCTGTTCTTATGGAGCTTATGACCTGCATGACGGGGGACAGGGGCAGCAGTCAATTAATAACCACAACAGATGAAAGGCACTAGGGAGAAAAATAACCAGGGCAAGGGCACAGTGAGGGTGCCCGGATCTCTGGGGATGATACAAATGTAGCACTGGGGGCATGGGAGACAAGCAGCAAGAGACAGAGCAGGAAGGAGCCCCAGGCCAGGAGGGAAAGTCCTTGAATGCCATGCTAGGGAATTTGGGCTGTATTCTCTAGGCCAAGTTCTCTCAAGCTGGGGTCTTAGGGAACTCTAGGGGAGGGCTTATTTGGGGTTTTCATTTAGAAGACTATCTGGAAAACAGATGTACATCCTGAGTCACCTGGATAGGATGACTTTCAGGCCATGTTTTGCTGCGTGGTGTCAGGGCTTCCCTGGGCTCTGGTAATGAGCAGGAGTACCTCAACTGTCACCAGGTAATGAGCAGGGAGCAAGGGGAGGCCTGGCAGGGAAGTGATGCACTCACACCAAAAGAGCAAAGACAGACTCTGTGGTGAGCCCAGTGGGTAAGCTGGTGGGCAACATGGGTCACCATAGGGCACCCTAAGGGAGGGGTGCAGAGATCTCAAAAGAACCTGCCCCAGAAGAGGCCCACAGCCACATCGTGAGCAACTGGGTTCCAGCAAAACAACATCATCCATCACATTAAATGAATGCTGTTAATTTGAATTTTATTGTTTTGTAGCTTCTTTTTTATCCCACTTGTGATTTTGTTTTGGTTTTATGGTTGTTCAAAGAATATAAGCATCACGACTTTTTCATACCTAATCTTATATTTACACATATTCAAATAACAACATGATAAAAAATCATTCAAGGCCACTAGGGTTCAACAAGAATGCTTTCTTTTCCCCTTGAAGGGAGTCAGGCCACGTAGTACTCTCGTTTGAGAAACGTGGCAGTGAAGGAGGGGCCCCAGGGTGGTTGGGAGCAGTAAGGTGGAGTCAAGCTAGGGCCGAAGGTGCCTCTGGGGAAGACAAATGGGGGCCCTTCGCTGGGGGCTTCTGGAAACCGCGAAATAGCCCTTCCTGCTCACAGACCCAGGGGAAGGGGCCCAGGACTTGGGAGTGGGCACAGCCGGCCAGCCCCGCCCTCCGAGGGCGACAGGGCATGGTGCCACCACCCTCTCAGTTGCCAGAATTGCCCGAGACCCAGGGAGGCACCCTTCCAGGTCAGGCCCTGGACAGAGCCAGGCCGGTGGGCAGGTGGGCATGGAAGCCAGAGCCCGTGGAAGGGACCTCTGGCCCAGCTCCTTCCTGCCAGCCCTGCAGCTCAGCACCCTCCCTTCATTCAACAAACAGCTGTTAACATCCCCTGCAAACCAGGCCCTGAAGGAGGGCTGCTGCCGAACCCTCACCAGGGAAGGTGACCATAGAACTGAGCCTTGAGAGCCCAGGATGGGGGATGGGGGTGGCTGGCCCAGTCCAAAGGAATCAGGAAAGGCTCCTCTGCAGAGGTGTGATCTGAGCTAAGATGAGTAAGCAGGACAGCAGAAGAGTCTGCAGAAGGGTGGAGGCTGGGAGAAGGCCCTGGGGCAGGAGGGGGCTCTGCCCCTAGGAACCGAGAGGCCGGTGTGGCCAGCCTGGGGAGGGCGGGGCGGTTGGGCGCCCCCAGCAGTGGTGCATGGGTGCCAGCGGGGACCTGGGACTTTACCCTGAGAGCAAGGAGAAGCCACGGGTGGGTTCAGGGTGGAGAGTGACACACACACAGACCTGACCTGCATTTGGGTGGAGGATGGACAGGAAGGGGGCAAAGGCACAGGGAAGGCCCGCAGCCAGGAAGCTCCTGCACCAGACCAGGTCTGACGGTGGCGGCCCCCACGGAGACGGACGGAGGTGCACGGCTGAGAGGCTGCCCGGCGCCACTCCCTCCGCGTTCTCATTCCTCTCGTGCCCAAAAAGTCGGAGCCACACAGCCCTGAGCCTGGTCCCTGAGGGTCGAGGAGCCTAGCGGAGTATGACTTGGGCCCCTCACTGCACAGAGAGGGAAACTGAAGCCCAGAGAGGAGGGCCATCTACTGAGGTCCCGTAGGAGGCAGGCGATGGTCAAGCAGGGACTGAAGTCCCGCTTTGGAACTCAAAGGTATTGTGCGTGCACGCTCGTGTAGGCACACAGGTGCACGAGGGTGTAGGGGTAGGAGGGGCAGGGACAGTGTCCCATGCACGGGATGGAGGTGTGACTCTGGAACGTGCATGAGCAGCTGGGGCTCTGGGTGTGTGTCTGTGTGTAGTGTGGGGCTGCAAACCAGCCACAGCCTCTTGGCCAGGTGGCCCATTGGTCTGGGGTTCCCAGACAAGGGCCACAGGCCTGGGCAGGTGCCCCTCCGGCAGCAGCAGGGCGGGTACTCACTCTGGGCCTGGCCCACGGCAGAAGCCCTCTTGGCGCCAGCGTGCTGGACGAGCACGGTGTCCTTGTCGTAGGGGCCGCCCTCCTGGCCCACCTCCACCACCTGCACCTGGGGCAGCGCCGTGTTCCACTTCACCACGTACTTGGGCCCGAGGGGCACCAGGCTGCTGATCTCCAGCTGGCCCCTGCCAGGACAGATAGGAGGAAGCCCTGGAGAGCCCGCAGCAGCCCAGGCCCAGGGCCAGCCCAGAGCACGCTCCTCAGCCCACCAGCTCAGCCAGGCCCCTCGCAACACAAGCACCAGACCTCGGGCCAAAACCAAGCTAGGCAGAGCAGAGAGCCATCAATGAGGCAGAAGCCCTGGGGTGCCCAGGCCCCAGCCCAGATCCAGAATCACATGCCCCAAGGCCCCGAGCCCCCAAACCCCTACCTGTGGTTGGCAGGCCTGAGGAAAAAGACAAAACGGAAAGGAAGGTCATTCCTGTTATTGAGTGATTTTTAGGGGGCTGAGACCAGTGGGGGCCAGCCACGGGGCTGGGCCAGGTGTGGGCATCAGGGACCATAGGAGGGCCTTCTCCCCAGACAGGCCGCTGGCCTCCAATCACCTGCGATTCCCACAATTGCCCTGCTAGGAAGCTTGTATTATTCCAGACGAGAACACCAACAGTCAGACAGGTCACGTGACTCGCGTCGAATCACCTAAGCTGATCCCCCAACCCCCTCCCCCCAAAGTGGGCCACTAACATCCCCATCACAGCTCACACCAAGCTAGGCCCTGAGCAGCAGGGGGCAGAGCAGGTGTTCATCAGATATGGTGCCTTAAAAATCACAGTGCTGCAGTCAGTGAGGGAGGGAGGGAACGAGATAGCCTTAAGCACCACCACACTGATCTGGGACACAAGCTTCCTTGCCAGAGTCCCCTATCAGTGCTGGGTCTCCTCCAGACCTGTGAACTGACATGAAGTAAGGGCCCAATAAGTCTTTGATGGGTGGATGGATGGATGGATAGATGGATGGATGGATGGTTGGAAGGGTGGGTGGGTGGGTGGATGGATGGATGGGTGGGTGGGTGGATGGGTGGATGGATGGATGGGTGGGTGGGTGGATGGAAGGGTGGGTGGGTCGGTGGGTGGATGGATGGATGGATGGATGGATGGATGGGTGGATGGATGGATGGATGGATAGATGGATGGATGGATGGATGGGTGGATGGATGGATGGATGGATGGGTGGATGGGTGGAGGGTGAGAGAGCCTGGGAGTCGCCGGACAGCCCTGCATGCTCCTGTCCCAGGCTGCAGGAGCCACAGCGATGGAGACTATCCCCAAATCCACTCCATGGCCATGCCTGCACCAGCCGACTCTGGGTGCGGAGCCTACATCAGGCCCCACAGGCGCCCCCACAACCTGTACAGGTTCTCCAGCTGAGGGGCAGAGGCTATGTCCCTTTGGATCTCAGTTATCATCATCATATTGGTGCTTCTGTGATGATTTTTTTTTTAAAGATTTTTTATTTAAGGGCGCCTGGGTGGGGCTCAGTTGGTTTGGCGACTGCCTTCGGCTCAGGTCGTGATCCTGGAGTGCCAGGATCGAGTCCCGCATCGGGCTCCCTGTTGCACAGGGAGTCTGCTTCTCCCTCTGACTCTCCCCCCTCTCATGTGCTCTCTCTCTCTCTCTCTCATTCTCGTTCTCGCAAATAAATAAATAAATAAATAAATAAGATCTTTTTATTTATTTATTTTTTAACACACAGAGACACAGCGAGAGAGGGAACACAAGCGGAGGGAGTGGGAGAGGGAGAAGCAGGCTCCCCGTGGAGCAGGGAGCCCGATGCAGGGCTCGATCCCAGGACCCTGGGACCATGACCCGAGTCGAAGGCAGACGCTTAACGACTGAGCCACCCAGGAGCCCTTCCATGATGATTTTTCAAAGTGCTGTCAAATATTGAGAGCAGAGTCTGCTCCACTCGAGTGGCTAAGATCCCAACTGGACAGGTCACAGCTGGAGTTCATCTGGGCACCATCCCTCGGCCACAGGGCCCAGCAGGGGATGCAAGTGAGCAAACGGGGCCAGGTGGGGACCATGAAGCCCAGCAGAGCACGATCCCTAGTAAGGAGGCCATGCGACCCAGCTCCAGGCCCGAATGGCCCTGGGCAATGTGGGCCCAGAATGTGGGCCCTTCAAAGTTTCAAGAGAAGTCAAAAATGTCTCAGTCTTTGCACGAACTCCCTACGTGAGGCAAATAAAAGATTTCTGGAGGCCTGATGCAACCTGTGGGGCACAACTGCCCTCACCCCATCCAAGTTCCGATTCTTTCCGGTACAACCTAGAAGCCCAGCTCCAGGCATTTCTACCACCTCAGTCTCAGAACCAGGAGGCCAGGTTCTGTGGGGGAGATGGTGCTCAGAGCAAATTCTCTGGAATCTCAGAGTGGTTGAAACCCAGGAAACTGTTCAGTTACCAACAGCAGAATTCTAGAACAGACCACTCTGCAGGAAGGTCAGCTGCTGGCCCAAAGGCCAGGGCTGGGCCCGGATGACCCTTCCAGATGCTCCCCATCTGGGGACCAGGGAGAGAGCAGGCCAAGAGGGATGGGAGAGGAAGCCGGAACGTCTGAAACCCAAGCCGAGGCCACACCAGACCTCATCACGGAAAGGCCAGTCTGGAAACCAGGGCGCAACAAGACAGGGTTGGGCGGGCGGCGCCCCTACAGCGGGCTACGACCCGGGCCCACTTACTTGAAATTGATGTTGGCGCAGACCAGCATGTCATTGAGCAGGAAGACCCTGCGCTCCTTGGACTTGATCAGCTGCCCGCGGTCACCGTACACGGTCTCTGTCAGTGTCTCACACAGGAGCAGCTGCCGCTGACCCGAGGTCAAGAGCTGCGAGAAGGAGACAGAGCAGAGTCAACACCAGCACACAGGCGGCCACGCCACCACCACTGCGCCCAGGAGCCAGAATCCCTCTCCGCGCGCAGCAGGGACCGGGGCTGGGAGAGGCGGAGGAGGAGGTGGGGCCAGGCCCTCCATCCCTGGCGTGGCAATAGGCACTGGGGAGGAGGCCACAGGACGGCACACTGGGTTCTCTGCTGCCCCCCTTGTCCCGCAGCCCGCACCCCTTCTCAGGTGCGCCAGCCCCAGCCACCCCTCCCCGCGGTAGCCGCTGCCAGCGACACAAGCTAGAGTCGTAGACGGGTGCTCCCACCCTGGCTGCCCGCTCACCAGCTACAGAACCCTCCAGCAGGTCACTTCACCCGCCCACACCCCAGCTATCAAGGGGGGCAAGGATCCACCGCTCAGATTACCACAGTAACACATGACCAGATCTGGCAACATAATTTTCAGAACCCGGTGCAAGATGAACATGCAGCCCTCATTCAAATGGTATTAAGGCTTTCAGGACAGTAACAGCAGAACAGGAACCCAAGTGCGGGGCCCTCCTGAGCGCGGGCCCTGTGCGACAGCCCCGGTCACATGCCCGAGAAGCTGGCCCTGCATGTGGGTACTCCATCGTGCGCTGGGGTGCTGCTGTCCCCACGGGCCATGCTGTCTGTGATGGTCTTCGCCATGAAGAGGTGTGGCCTCACTTGGGGAGACCTCGGGCCTGGAAGAGGCCCCAGCCCTGCACCCTGAACTGAACTGAACAGCCCCGGCTAGTCTGCCACATGAGGGGGCTGCACGGATCTGCTGGTCAATGATGTTCAGGCCTCAGGCATCCGAGCAGGCATTTGCCAATCTCAGGCTGGACCCTGCCAGCCTGAGAAGCCCCTGCCAGCACCGGGACCACCATCCTACTCAGGGACCTACCGGGAAAACAGCTATTACTAAGAGGGACTTTTTTTTTTTTTTTTTTTTTTTTTTTTTGCAGAGGGGAGGATAATATTCAGCAAAATTCATTCCCAAAACCCATGACTCCAGTGACAAGAGTCATCCTCCCCTCCCTCCTCACCCCTGCTGGGAAAGGGCAGATCACCCCAAGCCTCTCCCCGGAGAGACAGCCCTGTCACTCTCCCTAGAACCATGTGTCCCGGATTGCCCAAAAGCCTGAAATGGTACCAATGCCCACTGCCTGCCAGGCACCGCCCTTGGCACTAAGTACCCTACTTCCCATTTAACCAGCTCCGGAGCCCCTGAGGCCATCCCCATTCCCAGAGGAGGAAGCCAAGCTGCCAGAGGTAAAGCGGCTCGCCAAGCGGCAGCGGCACAGGATGCGGCCAGGCGCACACGCTGTCCCCAGCACCGGGCAGTCAGCTGCGTGTGACAGGGGTCGCGGAGGCCCCACTGCTGCTGACACAAAAACGACTCAGGGTCCCTGAGGGCGCCTCTCGTCACTGCTAAGGCCGGGCTCCCCCACGCCACCAGCTCCATCAACAAGCTGACACCAGCTCATGGAAACAAGACTGGAGCCCTGAGGACAGCGGGCCCCACTGAAGACCGCCCACGTGTGCCATGACCTAAAACTTGGAAGTCCCCTGGGCCGCTGTCAATCATGCCCCTGCCCCATAGGCAGATAAAAGGGAAAAAAAACGGATATTGCACAAACATTTCCCTGGAGGGTCCTGAGCAGGCACATTTTGAAATAGCCGGCAGGGTTCCGTTTGGGGCACACCCAGTTTCAATTCTGCTTTTCCCTGGGTGACAGACAGCAAGAGGAAAATCACCGGACTGGTCTCAGAACTGACCGAGATTGCCCAAGGGGGGCCCTGGCCAGGGATAGGCACAGTGTGCAGCCATGTCGCCACCACAACTACGTCCCACACGTCTCAAAAACGCCCCCCACCTGACAGGGGGAGAAACTGAGGCTCGGAGCTTTCGGTTCCTTGCCCAACACCAAACCAGGTCTTCCTGGCCTCCAGCCAGTGACCACGGCTCCTTACTGCCCAGGTCCCCGTGGGGGACAGTGCAGAAGAGAACAGTGGGTCCGCCCGGAGCCAGTGCTACGGAGGATCTCCTCCTGCCCAGCCAGCTTCCACCGGCTGTGGCACAGGTGTGCGGGCTGAAGCCAGAGAGACCCTGCTGGTTACAGAGAAGGGAGCCAAGGGAGGGGACCGAAGAAGACACATCCCAAGTGCAGAGACCATCAGATACCAGCGCAGGTGCCAGGCTGGCCTGAAGTGTGTTTTTCTAGAGACATTCCAAAATAGAGGGCTGGCCTGGGGCTGGTTAGGGAGTCCCGCCTGGAGGCAGGGAGGGACTGGGGACTGAGGGGGCGTGGGCAGCTACTCCTCAGGTGGCCAGTGGCCTGCAGGGAGGCAGGCCAGCATGCCAGTTCTTCCAGCCCTTCGAGAAGACCTACTAGTCGGGATTCTATGGGCAGCTTTCCATTTTTAACTGAGGGCAACTGATTCCATCTTCTTAAAAATACCATGTGGGACTAAAAGCACACGTACAGCCTGAATTTGACCTGAGGAGCGAGAGTCTTAAGATGTAGGACTCCTGGGGGCGCCTGGGTGGCTCAGTCGGTTGAGCGTCTGCCTTCGGCTCAGGTCGTGATCCCAGGGTCCTGGGATCGAGTCCCACATCGGGCTCCCTGCTCAGTGGGGAGCCTGCTTCTCCCTCTCCCTCTGCTGCTCCCCCTGCTTGTGCTCTCTCTTTCTCTCTGACAAATAAATAAATAAAATCTTTAAAAAAAAAAAAGGTGTAGGACCCCTGAAGCTTAGAACTGCACGGAACCCCGCAGGCTCTCCTGTCCAGGCTTCTCAGGCCTGTGGCAAAGGTCAAAGATGGTAGCGTAGGTTAGTATTATACACCGTAAAGTGCCAGCCACCTGGAAAGGGCTGTTGTCCTCTGGGCAAAGCTTCCTGTACTATTAGAAAGTTCCACCCTAGGCAGCCTGGGTGGCTCAGTTGGTTAAGAAAGTTCCACCCCATGTGGCTAAAATCTCACTGGCCTTAGTCACTGGCCTTACTTCTGCTTTTGAAACCCACAGAGCCAAGAGGCTCCCAGTTTTCCCCCGAAAGATTTGAGCAACTCCCTGTGATGACCCCACACAATGTCTCTGCCCCGAAGAACACCTAGTGTCCCTGCCTCTGTGCCCTAAGACAGGGTTGCCTCACCCGAGCCATCCCCACCAACCTCCACCCTCCGGCGGGTGAAAGCGGGGGGCGCCCAGGGTGCAGGGCCCCCGGGTCTGGGAGCAGCTTCCAGCACCTCATGTCGCGTGCACAAACAGGTGACTCAAGGTGATGACGCTTTTGGGTACCGGCTTCGTGTTTTGAAAACAAGGTTCTCTACGGACTCGTTTGAAAGTTTTCCAAGATTTTTTTTTTTCCTAGAATGTTCCTGAGTTACAACCCCAAAACATGGCATGAATTTTCCCTCTTTCTTCTTTACAAATAACACTAGCAATGGTGACAACCACCTTATATTAAGGACTCCTCTGTTCGCCTTGCAGCAGCCTTGGGCGCGGGCACCGCGAGTTCTCCGCGTCTCGGAGGGAGCGAGTGAGGCTCAGCGAGGCCGGGTAATTCCCCTGAGGCCACACAGTGAGCACCACGGGCAAAATCTGGATTCAAACTCGGATTCTGACCCCAGAGCTTCCTTGTATAAGCATGATGCTAGACTGTCATCTCTGGTGTCTTTCCTGGCAATGACACTGATGGACAAAATCAGCTTTTATCCTAAAATAACATGGATAGTAATGAATGCAGGGGTGCAGTATAGACTCGAATCCCCAAGGGAAGGTCCGTGTGCTCAGAATCAAGGATCCCCTCCCTCAGAGAACACTGCCACCTAGTGGGCGGCCGAGGGGAGAAGGCAGAGCAACAGGTGTTAAAGGCCCCAGGGCAGGTAAAGGCCCGCAGGTGGGGGGGACCTGGCACTCACCTTGTTGAGGCTGCTACGGTCGCTGACGCTCTTGGTCAGCTGCTGGATCTCGGCCACCTGGTCGGCCAGCCGCTTCTGCTCATTGAGCTTCTCAGCCAGCGTCTCAAGCTCCGTGAGGGCGAGCTGCAGGGAGAGCCTGTCCGGGTGGCCCCTGGGTGTGTTCTTCAGCATGTCCTGCCAGGACCCCGAGAGAGCCAGGGCTGAGAACCCCGCCCCAGTGGACCCTCCCTCCCCTGGCCTGGGATCAAAGCCTCACCCTCCCACCTCCTGCAGAGACAGGGGCTGAAGGTGCCCCGCTTTTGGCCAAGACAGATGGTACCTGACATATAGCAAGGCCTCAAGAAATAGCTAATGAATGAAAATATAAAATAAATATGTGGATCAATCTCTAATTCACTGATCAGCAGTTTGCTGAGATGAAAGCCCCCTCCTGTGGCCAGCAGCTCTGAGGACAGAGAGGAAAGTGCCACGGGGGTCCCCAGGCTGGCAGCCCCCCTACCCAGCTCAGCAGCGGGGGGGGGGGGGGGGGAGGGGGCGGAGGCTCACCCTGACTAAGGGCTCTCGGCAATCAGGGGAGGAGTCCCAAGCTCTTGGGGGGAGCCCTGTGAGGGGACAAACACTCCCTCTAGAAGCCTGAGGTGGCCAAAGTCAGCTCATTTCCCGAATGTCGCCCCGCTGCCAGGACCCCCAAGGGCCTGGGAGTCCACACGCCCTCGCTCCCTTCCTGCAACCTGGGCTCCTGCCACCACCAGTCACCCAGCCTTCCACGCCAGGGAGGTGCACAAGAAGCTGTCCGACACGATCAGGTCCACTCCAGGAGTAGAGAAGGAGGGCACTGCGGGGTCAAGGTCCTGCTCATCGTCCACAGCAGACGGATGGTTGTGGATGATGGACAGGAAGCCCCCACCCCAGGGGGCTCGCCAGCCCGGGCCACACCCTGCAGGTCCGCAGCCGTCAGGACCCCACACGGTACCTGAAGCAGAAGGATGAACTGTGGGAACCTCTGGATGGGCTTCACCATCAGCCCGTAGAGCGTGACACGGTCCGGGCTGCACACCTGCCGTCGCTGTTGGAGAGCAGGTGGAATCATTCACCAAGCCCCCCCCCCCCCCCCCCCGTCCTCCGGGGGGCCGGGGGCCCCCAGGGGGCAGAGGCCGCCAGTCCTGGGCTCTCCTCCCCTCCCCCCACCCCCCGCCAGGGCCCAGGACTCTGCTTAGCCTCAGGCCTGAGAGGAGAGCCCCGGGTGTCCCTGGTTCCGCAGCCAGGACCCTTTGCTGCCACGGGGTCCCCCGCACAGCCCCCCAGCCTGGGCAGACTAGGGCAGTCGGGCTAAGGCCTCCGGACTAACAGCATAACGGGGGGACTGAGCAGTTTCCTCAGGAGACCAGAGGAGAAGCCTTGGCAACCACCCCCTCCACATGAACTAAGGCAGCCGGGCCCGGGCCAGGCTGAGGGGCAGGCACGGGGGTCATACTGTCCTCTTTCATCCGTCTCCAGCACTCCATCCACACGCCTGTCACCTTGATTCCGGCCCGCACGACCTGCCCCCCAGCCTGCTGCCTCAGCTTCCTCCCTGGCCTCCACTGCCATCCTCCCAGGCCCAAAACTCCTCAGTGGCTCCCACTGCCTGAAATATGAGGGCCCAGCCGCCTGGGCCTTGAGATCCAGGACCGTCCAAACTGAATTCAGCCGGCTCCGGGCCTTGTCCCCTAGAACTCCCAGAGAGGCCCCCAGTGCTCCCAGGATCCAAGCAGACTTGCCCATCCCCACCCTCCTGCCTCTAACCTTTGCCCCACCACCCCTGTATCTGGAACACCCTGTTCTCTGTCTCCACCTGTTACAACAGATGACACTCCACTGACAAAGCCCCCTGACCTTCTTGGACTGGGGCAGGGGCTTCCTCGGCTGGGGCACCGGCTCCTCCCCCACCCAGCCCACCCACACCCTCCGCTAGGCAGCACGCTTCCTGAGGGCGAGGTCTGTGTCGGACTCACCTGACCGCACAGCCCAGGAACTCAGGGGAAGCTGCCCACGGCTACCGGATACCTTGCTCCCTTTACCTCTATTCTCCCACGTGGTCCCCAAGATAGCCCTCTGAGGAATTTTCCTCACCCCTTCCCAAATGAGGAAAAGGGATCAGCCCGGTGACAACCTGAGCCATACCTGAAGACCCACCCAAGCCAAGCCGGACAGAGGAACACAGTCACCCACCACAGACCCACCCATTGTCACCCCCCCCCATCCGAGAGAGGTCACCGGCCTCCCCTTCCACCTGGCCGAGCTCCAGCTTACAGACCCTCTAACTCATTATCACTCTCCCCCTGGGGGGCAAGAGGGGCCAATTTTCTTCCCATGGCACTGGCGATGTCCCAAAGGAAAGAGGGGAGGCATCCGGGCCACAGCGATGATGGGACCCCCAAAGCTGGGCCCCAGTGCCCTCTCCCTCCTGAGAAACCCACTGAAAGGGGCCCTGGACCCCCACTGGCCCACCTTGAGGAACTCGAGGAAGGCGGGCTTGGTGAGACAGGCCTTCTTGATGATGGACATGGCGTTGGTGAAGTTGTTCACGTAGTCGCTGTACACGTCCAGCACCATGGACTTGGAGAACTGGAACGGACCCGGGGTGGGGAGGGAGGGTGGCTAGCACCACCACCCTCGGTACTGGCTACCCGGACGGACGGTCACAACCAACCTTGAGGTCAGGAAACCTGTCACCCCACTGAGGGGAAGAAACCAGGCTCCGAGAGCTGGAGAGATGCCCGCGGTCCCAGGGAGGAAGAGGTGGTGCCAAGAGACCAGGGATTCTCCTGCCGCCCCCCCCCCCCCAAGCTGAGCAGCCCTGGAAGGTGAAGGGAGGAGAAGGGACGGGGGTGGGGGCAGGCCTGATGCCACCCTCTCCGTGCCCTTCCTCACCACCCCCAGGAAATAGCATGCCCTGGCCCTCCAGCCACGAGGACGGCACTCCTGTCCACACGGCCCAGGGCATCAGATCTGTTGAGTGCCGGGATTTTCAAAACAATATTTTTTTTTTCTTTTAGGAGAACACAATTACCTACAACAGATCAAAGTGGCGTTCCACCGACTTGAACCCCCACCGCCCCATGAATCGCTCTGGGGCTCACGGACTTCACTTTGAGAAACCAAGAGCCCCCCTCAGCTGGGGACTCGAGACCAGACAGAGCCCTGGAGCTGCCCGAGGTGACAAAACTGAGCTGGGACTGGCCAGGCCGCCTGGAGTGCGGTCCAGTGTGCCCGCCCGATGCCCCGCGGTGTCCTCTGGGGGCCAAGGCCACGGTCTGTGCGAGCAGCGTGGATGGTGGGCACCCCAGGAGCACTCGGCAGGAAGCCACAGACCGTCCGGTGACCGCCCACGGTGTCCGGCCTCCTGAAGGTGCTGCCACCAGGCAGGGCCAGGACAGCGTGCGGGCTTCACCGGTACCACAGCCGCAGACACCTCCAAGGACCTACTTGAAGGTGTCGTGGCCACCCTGGCTGGGGCCAGGCGGACCTGGGCCCTGCAACCCCCGGACCCTGCCTGCTTGGACAGGTGACCAGGGGACGGCAGAAAGCCAGCCAGGATGGCATCCAGGTGAGTGCGGCAGTTTGTACCTGAGAGTCTGGGGGTACGTACTGAAGCCACAAAGAGGTCCCCGATCTTCTCGGTCGCATCCCACTCAGCCACGCGGGAGGACAGGGCTATCTGGAACATGGAGTGGCAGTGTAGGATCTCCTTCACGCGGAAGAACACCGCCTGGCACTTGCGGGCGCTCAGCACCTTGGGCTCCATCTCCATCAGGGGGTTGCGGTAATCCTGCAGGGCCGGGGCGGTGAGTACCCCAAAACCAGGCCACAGCCCCTTCACCCACCTGCCCTTCGGGCAACACGGACAAGGCCCAGAAGAACTCAGCAGGCCATGGGTAGACCTTCCCTCACTCCTCGTCCTTCTGGAAGGATCTCCATGAATGTAACATGCCTGGCCCCTCTTTGCCTACCCACAACCCACCGCACCCCTTGACTTGGGTGTGAAGCAGGGTTGGGAGGAAGACGCTCTCGAGGAGCCCGATGGAGGCAAGGCCCCAAGGCCCCGGCTGGCCCTGTCCAGCTCTGCCAATGACTGAGCCAGTCCCCCGACTGGAGAGGTGGCCTAGCTCCCTTGGCCCCCAGACCCAGAGCCACACTCCAACCCACTGATCAGGAACACAGTGATATTTCCATCTCCCTCTGCCTGACGCCTGGGCTCCCCTTCTGTGGATCCAAACTCAGGAGGGGAGGAGAAGGGTGTCGTGAACATCCCATGACCCCAACAACTGCCTTCCCTGGTGGCCTCTCTCGAAGCCACAGCATCCCAGGGGATTCAGCACATCAGGAGTGCTGACTACTGACCAGGTTGACACATTAGTTGACATGGCAACGCCTGGGCATCCTGACGGCCAGAGAGAGGGTGCATCCACTCCAGCCTCCAGGGCGCCCCAGGAGGATGGGAGACACAACCCTGCCCCAAGGCTCCTGGAAGGACGAAGAAGGCATGGTGCCCTCCACCCTACGGGGCACGCCTCACTTCACAGACCCTCAACTTTGCTTCCGAAATGCAGTCCCCCTGTGAACATCGAGGCGTCAGGAATTCCTGCTGCCCCCATAAAAGTGCTGGCCTGTGGCCCCTTCCCCTTAAAACTGTCCCCAGCCCCCCAACACTCCTCATAAAGTGTCCCTCTGGGGTCCTCCCTGCTGTCTCCCCAGAGGCCCCTGGAGTCGCACCTGGAGTACCCGCTTCAAAGACTCCACGTAGCTGCCTTCGCTCTGCACGATGGAGCCCAGGATGTGCCTCCGGAGCACCTGCTCAGGCCAGAAAGCGCAGTCAGCGCCTGCACCTGCCGCTGCACGGGCTGAGCCCCGGGCGTGTGCAGAGTCTGGTGTGGCGGGAAGAGTCTCGGCATCAGAGCCCACCCCGGGGACCAATGGGGGCTGCAGGCGCACATTTCCCTGCAGAGCCCAGACTGCGGATGGGGGTGTGGGTGCTGGGGCTCGAGCCCCCCGCCACGCCTCTGCTCACATACATCCAGGCAAAGGGAATCACCACCTCTCCTTCACGGGGCTCAGGCAGCCCCCCATCCCTGGACAACTTGAGTAGAAAATTATTAGATGGAATAGAGATCTCCGCTCCCGCTCCTCATAGATCCCACCCCCCGCCAATCCCTCTCCCACAGGCAGGCTGCTGGGTGCCCTCCCACCCCCCGAGGGGGACCCACTGCAGGCCAAACATCCCGTCCCTCCCCGCCCCATCCCACCGGCCCCTTCTCTCCTCGGCCTAAGTCAACACACCCTCAGGCGCAGCCTGACCAGCCCCAGTCCAGCAGCCCTCGCCTGGTGGGCAGCACAGAGGGGGCAGGGGCAACTCTGCTGCTCAGTGGGATCGCGTGGCATCTTTAAAACTCCCGTCACCCAGCCGCCACCCCACACATTCTGATGGAGTCGGTATGGGGCACTACCCAGGTAGCAGGGTTTTTAGAGCATCCCAGGTGATTCCACTGTGCCCCAAAGCCCGGACAGAGCTCATGAAAGGTGTCGTGGGAGAGGTGTCTGAGGCTGGAGCCTGTCCACCTTGGGCCGTAGCCAGGAGGGTGACCAACCCTGGCGGTGCCCGACAGTCGTCCTGAGCAGCAATCCAGGTCCCCACTGCCGCCATCTCCCCTGCACCTCCAGGACACCTCCGTCCTGCCTCTGGCATGCCCTTCTCAGCAATTCCCACTGTGCCCCAGGCCCGACCACAGCCCACACAGCCCCATGGCTGTGGGATGGGCCAGGCCACTGTCCTTCTGGCTATCCCACAGGTGGATGCGTTGTCAACGATCCCCAGGCACCCAAGCTATTCCCAGAGCAGAGTTCCCGACCTCAGCACCCTGACACATGGGGCCAGGTGATTCTCAGTTGTGGGGCTTGTCCTGTGCACTCTAAGACATTTAGCCACATCCCTGGCCCCTACCCACTAGGTTCCAGTACCACCTCCAGTAGTGACAGCCATAAACATCACCAGACATGGCCAAATGCCCCAGGGGGTAAAATCGCCCCGATTGAGAGCCACTGGTCAGGACTAACTAATATTGCCTGACCAGGAAACCAAGAGGTTCCTGAGGAGAGAGGCCCGGCCAATGCCAGGAAGAGGAGCCCTGGATTGTGAGCCCGAAGTCTGGGCTCACACCCAGCTCCAACCACTCTGACAGGCATTTGCTGCCCCGGGGGCGAGGGTCACCATCTCAGTGCCCAGGGGCGACGGTCACCATCTCAGTGCCTGGGGCAGGACTGGCCAGGCAGCTAACAGACATGAAGGAAGCAGGCAGATGGACTCCCGAGACATGGGATGTGGCCACATGTCATCTCCCTGATTTTCTAAAGAGGTCAAACATCAGGATTTTCTGCCAGCCACAAGGGGGGCAAATCCCTTCTTGGTGCTTGCTGCCCTGACATGACTTGCTTGGCATCCCCACACCCAAGAAAAGTCAGGGGTCTCTCCCCCTGTTTCATGGCTGGGACAGCCAACCTGACACGTCCAGAGCAAGGCCACCCGGTCCTGGTCCCAGAGTGACACTGTGGGGAAAGGGAGGCATCGCCCCAAGGCCCCCAATGGCTGGGAGAAGCCCATGGATGGAGGGCAGGCTGGCCTCTCCAAGTCTCCCAAGCTGGATTAGCTTAATGCTCCTCAGCCCTTCTGTCACAGCAGCCCCTTCCTGCGAACCTCCATGTGAAACGGTTAAGCGGGAGTACGCTGGTCCCCCTGGGGTGGGAAGCAAGCACTCCAAATGCTTGGGGACCCACCACCCCCGGGACAATGGCATGGCACCTGTGGGGTCCAGTCTGGAAATTTGTGCAGCCAGTGAGGAGACAAGAAGCTGGGGCTCCACTGGGAGCCCCTGCTCATCACTTCCCCTTCCAGACCCAGACTCGCGGGGCCCCCAACCACCCCTTCCCTTGAAGACCCCCACCACCTGGCTCCCCCCGCAGACCTGCTGAGGGCTCAGACCATCCGGCATGGGGCCCAGCTCCGGGGCCGGGGGCTTGATGTCCGTAACGCTGACCTCCAAGAGCCCCATGTCCTCCTCCTCTGAGTCACCTGGAAAGTCAGATGGGCCAGTGACACATGCGAAGTGAGGATAACATACCCTGCTCAGCCCCCCAGGAGTTGGGAACCACCCTGGGCCAGGGTCCCGGGGCCACAGAGGGTCACTCGCTGCTGTGCTCTGCTAGATTCGTCTGGCCAGGAATAAAGGAGTGAGCAGGGGAGCACAAAGCAGCACGCCTCGGGGCTCCAGCTCTCAGCAGGGACTCTGCCAGAAGTCACTGTCCCCGCTCAGACCCGCCCGCTTCTGGCCTGGTGCAAGCCAGGCCGCCCATGTCTCCATCACTAGGCACTAAAAATAGTTTTCTTCTGGATGCCCCAAAGGGGGAAGAAAGTAAGTCCCAAGAAGAACGGGACTATTTAGCTATGTTTTCGTCCTTTCAACAACAACAACAAAAACAAAAAAAAAAATGCAGAAAGACCCAAAGGGAAAAAGTTCAACTGGACCGTGCAGACATGAGTGGGGGCAGCTGTCGGACAGAGGGCAGGAGACAGAGCCTCGGGAGGAGAGAAAGAGGGAGGTCAGGCAGAGTGCAGGGATCTGGCCTTGGACAGCTCTGCCCCCACAAGAGAGACACAGGCACAAGGAGACGGGACCCGAGCTGCTCTGGCTCTGAAACCCAGGGGTGGCCGCGGGCAGCAGGGCGCTGCAGGGAAGCCGGGAAGAAGGAGGTGGCAGTGACCCTGGAGCCGGGAGCCGAGGGAGCAGGGACACCCAAGCAGGCCCTTACCTGAACAGGAAACAGAAGACGAGGAAGAGGAGGGACAGCGGACCACAGTGTGGGGGTGGGGGTGGTGAAGGCCCTCCTGCCTGGCCCACATGGTACCCCGGGCATCACTCTGCACCCACCCCAGCCGCCGGCCCCACAGCTTCCTCTTCCCCCACTCGCCACTGGGTAACATTCTTGGCCAGCGATCTGAGCCCTGCCATGGCTATTAATAACGCCTCTGGTGGGAGGGTCACTTTAGGCAAGGCTCTGGGCTGGCGGGCGGAGTGGGGAGGGCTTAGGGAGAGCCTGCTGCCAGCCTGGCCAGTCTGGGGGTGGGGATGGTGACCGGGAACAGCTCCCAGCCAACCAGCCTGTCCACCCTGTCCTTCCTCCAGGCCACTCCACCAAGTCTGGAAGGGCTCCCTGGCCTGTCCCCTCCGTCGTCAGGGGCCAGGGCTCCCCCAAAAGGTTCCGTGCTGCATCAAGTGCATGCAGTGGTGGAGCTGAACCCATTTCACAGATGAGAAACCGGCTCCTCTGAGAAGGGGAAGAACTGCACAAGGTCGTGTAACCAGGAGGCCGTGAAGCCAGGATCTGAACCCACACCGGCGAGATGCCATCCTAGCACCGAACACCTCCACTCAGTGACTGCCCACTGAGAATGACATCAGCCACACCGGAGCCAGGAGTTCTTTCCACGCACAGCCTCGGTCATTCTCACCATGGCCACCGAGACAGATGCCATAGTAGCTCCGTTGTACAGAAGAGAAAATGGAGGCACAGAGAAGGGAAAGCACCTAACTTTTCAAGAGGGTACAGAGTCTCAAAGTTCTCCCTGGCTTGAATATCTGTGCTGGCTGGCCTGGCTCCAATCTCTCACGCCCACACCTCTCTCCAGCCACATGGAGCCTCTGCCATCCTTTCTACGCCTGTGTGTCCCCAGGCGGGTCACTGAACCTCTCTGTGCCTGTTTGCTCATCTCAACATGGGAACAGGACAGCCCTGTGGACTGTCTGGTGTCTGTAAGGATTAAGCAAGGAACTGTCAGGATCGTAAGAGAGCGCCCAGGACACGGTAAATACTCAATAAATGTTGACTATTGCGAAAATCGTTTCTTGAACGTCTCCTACTGCCCCGCTCCAGGGCCTTTGCACATGCTGGCTCCTCTGCCCAGAGCTCCCGTTCCCTGCCCCACTCCCCGCTGCCTCACTGACCTGGGTCTCGTTCCCTCCTGCTCCCAGCCCTTCCCTGACCACTCCTCTGCATCGTGCTCCTCCAGGCCCCTGCCCCCACTCCCCACCACTGCTTGTCAGCCTCTGTGGTCACTTCCTGTTTCTGTGAGCCGGGAACTCCCGGAGGAAATGCTGCTTCGTTCATCCCGGTGGCCCTGTACCCAGCACAAGGTACAGCACTTGGGGGGTGTTCAGTAAATACTGGCTGACGGACAGACGGGCGATGGACAAAGGGAAGAGCGGGGGCGTTCAAGGGGGCGTTCAAAGATGAGGCCAGGTGAGGAGGAGGCAGGAGGCCAAGTTTGCCGGGACAGAGACCAAGGGCAGGGACGCTCAAGGGAGAGGCCCCACCTCCCCCAGAAAGAGGTGGGTTGTACCTGCCAGAGGGTGGGAAACTGGCTGGGACCAGCCAGGATATTTGGGGGTCAGTCCCCAACCTGCACTACCAGGGGATCCCAGACCCCAAGTGGCTTTGCCCACCCGTCCCTGCTGCCACTGAGCTGAGCCCGAGCCTCCTGCCAGCCCGGCCCACGGCACCTCACCGAGAGCATCTTTCCTGTGCAGAAAGGACACTTTGCGCATGACAGCGATCCTTGTCTTCTCCAGCCCATCCTTAGTCCCGCTCTTCGCAGCCTTCATGAGCTGGGTCATCTGAGCAAAGGCAGAGGGCTCATCAGAGAAGCTGAGGGAGGCCCCAGGATGCCTGCCACCAAGGGCCACCAGCCCCACCCAGGCCTCCCAGCTGGAGCTGCACACATCAAGACCCCGGGGCCCATTCACTTCCAGGGAGGTGGCAGCAGAGACCAAGAGGGACGGCTAGGCAGTGGCACCTGGGACATCCCGGGACAAGGTGAGAAGGGGCATTCGTTCCCCGGGGGATCACCCTGGAGGAACCCTCTTCATCGGCAAGAAGGGGTCTTAACCCGATTGTCTCCCTTTGGGGAAAGACTCGAGGCCTGGACTGCCAGGCCTGGGTTCAGATCCCAGCCGTACCTCTCGGGACAAGTCACTTACTTAACCTGACTGAGCCTCAGTTTCCTTACTGAGATGTGCCAGGGTCTGTGAAGACTAACAGACGGAATCCAGGGAAGCATACTGAACAGTAAAATGACCTGTGCACGTATCCGTGGTTACTTCAGGGGACGTGAGCGCATACCCCCATCCCCTCTGCCAAACCCAAGTGAGGAATCCCTCCCTTGCCTCCCCAAACAGCCAAGTTTCTTACTGAGCCTAGGCCCGGGAAAGCAGGGGAAGGCTGAAGCGGCCACAGAGCAGAGCGCAGCTTCCCCTGTGCGGGGAGGGACCCGTGGACACCATGCAGCAAGCTAAGCAGAATGGCAGGCATGCCCAGGAAGGGGAAGCCGGTGCCCTGAGCTCTGGAGGAGCCCAGGGCCTGCACACAGAGCGGCTGTCCCCTAAGTCATTCCTGCACCCCTCAGCCCTCAGCCCCCAGCCCCCAGCCCTGGGAATCTTCCCCAACAGAACTTCCCCTGAAAGAACTTCCTACAATGATGGAAATACCCACTGGGGGTCCACCAGCCGCAAGTAACTCCTAGTACAACTGAGGACCCAAAGTCCTGATTATATTCCACTGTAATTGATTTACATTTAAATAGCCATGTGGCTGTCATAACAGCCAGTGCGGTTCTCAGAACACTCTCTCCTCCCTGAGGCTCTCTCCTGAAGGCAGGGAGCATGCCTCTGGGGGGCTCCAGTCTCTGCTCTCACTATCACCTTCCTCCAAACAAGGCCCTGGTCCCTGCTCCCCGCACTCCTTGGGCCTCTGGCTTGCAAAGAACCCACTGGGTGCTGGGCCTGGGGCATAGGGTGGCTTTTCAGGAACAATGCTGACTTTCTGGAAACAACCAGCAGGGGAAGGGGAAGTCCCCTGGGGCTCCCTGCATCTAAATGGCACAATTCTTCAGTAGTGATTCTTGGCCTCTTGGGATGGGTATTGGGGGGTCATAAACCTCCCTGATAATCTAAGGGGAAGGACAGATGACGACCCCAGAAACTGCACAAAGATGCTCATCCTCCTCTGGGGGAATGGTGGGGGGGGGGGGTCCACAACCTCCAGATTAGAAACCTCTGCTCTGAGCTCGGTTTCTCCCTGGCAGAAAGCCAAGGCAGGAAGCTCCCCTACAAACTCCCAAAGCGGTCTTCTCTTGGCATTTTCCTGGGCAAAAAAGAGCAACAAATGAATACCCCGGAAGATGTCCCTGAGTCAACCTGCTGCGTCCGCCCATCTTCACCGTGCAGGGGCCGGGCCAGGGATCCGAGTCCAGGGTCCCAGCCCGGGCGAGAAGCCCGGTGAGAGACTCTGCCCTTCCCATGCTCCCCGCTCCTCTCCAGGCCTTGGCCTTCTGAGAAGTGAAGCCCGCCCCCCTCGGGTCACAGGCCCCCCTGTGGCACATCTATATAAGGGCCCTGCAAACTATAAAGTGTCTGTCCCCCTCCTCCTGGGAGGTCTTGGGTTCCGACGGAATGGACAGTGGCCCAGGATGGAGTCCACTCAGCTTGGGCATGCAGAGACCCCGGTTTGAGTCCCAGCTCTAGCGCTGCGACTACCAGCCTGCTGATTCACTCACCGCCTCACTGATGCCAAATGACAGCAGTACAACAGCTGCCTCCCTGGGTGCCCTGGGGACAAAACAGTCAGGTGCACAGATAACAGGGGCCACCATCCACCGAGCGCAGCATGAGCACCTTACAGCTCTGAGCTCACCTAACCCTTCCTTCCATCCAGCCTGGGGGCTGGTACTGTTAATGCCCCCATTTCACAGGTGAGGAAACCAAGGCTCAGAGAGGTCAAGAGGCCTGCCCAGGACCACACAGAGAGGAAGTGGTGGGACTGGGATTCAAAGCCAGGCCTGCAGGCCTTCAAAGCCCATAGCACATAGTAGGTGCTCGATTAAGGGAAGCCCCTGCTGTTGATATCATGATCCAGAAGTCTGAGTCCCATCTGAGAAGAAGGTGCTGTGATTTCTCCTACAGATTTCCTTAGCCTGGATCTCTCTGAACAGCTCAGAGGGGCAGGAACACCCAGCGTCACTCAATGATGCTCACATTTTCCAGAGTGTAACTCTCACCCACCACCGGAGTTATCAAATTTGCAGATGCCTGGGCATTAGTCCAGACCTCCAGAATCAGCATCTCTGGGGATGAAGCTCAGCAGTCAGCATGCCCCAAAGCACCCCGGTGATGCCGAAGGCCCTAGAGCGTGCAGACCCACCCAGGAATTCTGGCAGACCGCTAAGGTTTCGCTCAGAGAGAGAGAGGCAAGAACGTGGAAAGGAGCGTGCCCGTCCCGGCATGGATGTGAGACGCGGCCAGGCTCCCGTGCCGGGGCAGGCGCCAGGGGCTCGGGCCCCCCTCTGCAGGGCCCCGGCCAGGACATGGGGGGACAGACAGACAGTACCTTACAGTCGTACTTGTGCTTCAGCGCCTGCATGTCTCTCCCCCCAGCTCTTAAAGCCAAGATGTCTCTCTTAGTCCTGGCGCATCTCTCCTTTAGCCTAGTCAGGTCTGGAGAAAGCTGGAGCCCCCAAGCAGCCAGGCAGAAGGAGAGCAGGTGCGAGGAGCAGGTGGGACGGGAGGAGACAAACGGGACAACAGAGGAGAAAGGAGACCAGGTGAGGTGGGAGGTGGGGCATGGGGAGGGCTCCCGCTGGGCACCAGCTCTGGCAGTGTCCCACCCCAGCACACGGGCAGCGGGGACTGGGTCTTGGCTGCTGGGAGGACAGGAGAAGGGGACCAGCCAGGCCCCCCTCAGGGAAGGGGGACAGCGCTTGGAAGATAAGGACTGCGTCTCAGGCATCCCCTCATCCCAGGGGCCAGTGTGGGGCTGGTGACATAGGAGACTCTCGGCAAATCTGTGAGATTGGATGGGTGGCAGGGGGATGGATGGGCAAATGCATAGGAAGAAGGGTGATTATATAAAGGGATGGTTGGACAGACAGATGGACAATAGAGGGATGGGTGGATGGATGGATGGATGGATGGATGGACGGACGGACGGATAAATGGATGCGTGAGCAAATGGATAAACTTAGCTGGATGACCGCAGAGCTGGGTAAATGGATGGGCAGGTGAACAGTAAGATGAATGACTAAAAACACAGCGGGACTGGTGGATGGATGGAAGCAATGCTGTGCTGGTAAATATTTAACATTGTGCTTCTCCAGGAGAAAGAGCCCTGCTTTGTAGTATTTCCACAGTGTGACTACTCTTACCATGGCAAATTTCACACTACCAGTGTGACGCCACTGAATGTGGAGTTGGAAAGAGTGTACAATTGGTTCCTACATCTTGCAAGCTAGGAAGAGCTGGCTCTGGCACATCACTGGAGGAAGGAACGGGTTAATAGAGGGAGGGAACGCAGGTGGGCAACTGGATGGAAGGATGGTGGCTGACGAGCTTCCGTACTATCTGGGAAAATGGATTTATGGAGACAAACAGATAGACATTCAAATGCATGAACTGTGTGAGCAATAGTGATATTTGGTAAAGCATACAGAAAACCAAGACAGTACTAATTCCAGAGTAGACAAGTAAAAGGACCAAGAGCATGAACTCTGGAGGCAGGCAGGCCTACATTCAAATCACCACCCCCCAGCTCACTAGCTGGAAAAGTATCTTTACCTCTTTAAGGGACACCCTCCTCACTGGTAAAGTGGCCAGAACCATAACTACTTCACGTAATTACTGAGAAGATTAGATGGGCAATACATGTATAGCCCAGGACTTAGTAAGTGCTCAAAAAGTGGAAGCTGTTATTACATACCCTACCTTACAAAGTATAAGTGTTCGGTATTTGTAATACCGGATAGTATGGTAGACAGGACGGATAGCTAGTCAGATAGATGGATGCATGGATGGATGGATGGATGGATACTTGGATGGATGGATGGATGTGTGGATGAATGGATGGATGGTTGGTTGGATGGATGGATGGATGGATGGATGGATGGATGGATAGACAGATACTTGGATGGATGGATAGATGGGTGGATGGGTGGATGGATAGATGGATGAATGGATAGATGGATGGATGAATGGAAGCATGCCTGCATGGACAGAAGGATGATGTATTTTCTTTCAAATCAGATGTGATATTGAGTTGCAGCTCTACCATGTACTGGCTGTGTCACTCTAACCGTATCATTTTGTCTCTCTAAGCTTCTGTCTTAGGTTCTCTGATCAATAAAATGACTTTTAATGCAAATAATACCAACCACTCTAGAATATTAGGAAAAATCATACGAACTGCTTTGTAAACTGTACCACGCTAAGCAGATGCTCACTACTATTAATGCAAAGAAATAGCAGAACGGGGGTCCTTCTGAGAGCAACTCAGACTCCCCAAAACCGTGAGAGTTTGGGGTTTATACTGAGTCCTGTTTCATCTGTAAATTGACACAATAAAATCATAAAGCCTCTGGCTTTGTACTGCCCCTCTGCCTCTCTCAGGATTAGAAGAGCCAGGATCAGAGGTCAACTACGGACTGGCCAGATCTGAGCAGGGGAGTGAGCAAGGCTGAGGTCAGAGCTGGCGTTTCTGTCCAATGCCCTGGCCAACTGGATCATGGTAACCTCAGTTATGAAGAGGTCACAGTGAGAAAAAGGAAAAGTCCAATGCAGCCCGTTCCACAACTGGGAAAAAAAAAAAAATCCCACTGACCATGGGTTGTAACCAGCAGGTACTTATTAACATAACAGGATCGGGCCCCTGCTTACATCTAGGTCAGGTGCTTCTGAGGAGGTCCCTCTGCAGACCCCTCAGTCACTTTCTTTGGCAAAAATCCACCTGCTGAGGGCTGACTTTCCAAGACCCCTGAAGGAGGGACTACACTAGTTCTCTTGCAGAGAACTTGCCCCCCGTCAGACTGAAGGATAGGGTCAAACACCACCAGATCTCTGCTGTCCAATGCCCCACAGCACGCACAAGACACAGCCAAGCAACAGTGGCCCCAAACCATGCAGCCACTGCAGTGCCAGGCACAGAAGCAAGTGGGCCCCAAGCAGCTCAGGAGGGAAGAGCACAGCGGACAAGGCTCAGTGGGGTGTCCAGGGCAGAGGTGGGTGCCAGAGGAAAGCTCCCCCCACCCCATCTCCCTGGGAGTCTGTTGTTCAGGGAACAGGCAGGCCTTGGCCCATGGCCAGAGAAAACGTCCTCATGGTTAGAAATTCCAAGAACCCTGCCACATGGTTTGCCTGCTGAGGAAGGGTCCAAAGCCCCTAGCTGGAGGGTCTGCAGGATAAGAGCTAACAGGCAGCCCCCAGAGACTCCTTCCCTGGGGCGCAGCCACAGTGAGGGCCAGCCCCACATTTCTCTTTATGGCCCCTTGCATCCCCTGGGGGTAAGGGCGAGCAGATGGCCAGCCTGACCCAAATCCTGAACCAGAGGCCCTGGGGGTGAGGCCCTGGTGTCTGCGATTTCCATCAGCTACCCTCATGATCCTGATGCCTACGCCAGCGTGACGACCAGCACTGGGGAGCCCAAATTCAGCATCTCCCTGCCTCCTGCCCTCTGAGAGACGTCCATGGTTCCCTCCAGGTCCCCAGCAAGAAGGCAAGGGGCTGGCAAAGCCGCCGCGGGGTTTAAGGAGGGACTGCCAGAGGCTGAGAACAAGGGCCAGTCCGGACCTCGAGCACCTCCTGCTCACAGTATCCCGAACCAAGCCAAGGGGCACGAGTCCGGCCTTCATCTTGGGAGGCTCCCCAGGGCCATGCTGGATTCATAACCAGAGCCCTTTCTCCCCTAAGGCAGTACACGCTACCCCTTCCCAGGACAGCAGAGGAACAGGACTATTCTTGAGCTTTTGCCTGGGCCATTACTCCAGCCTGGGACGCCTTTCCCAGCCCCTCTGGCTTCTGCGCCAGAGACGCCCCCCCTCTGACTTGCCCTATTAGATCCCACCCGTGCCAGGCATGTGGCCGTAGATACTTGGGCTCGTGTTTACAGAAAGGCATTTTGGGCTTCATTTTTGACAAATTGCTTCATATTTGATATCTCCTCCTAGACCATAATGGTTGGCCAATTGGGTTGGGTCTTCCTGTTCCAGTGCACCCCTGCCCACACCCTCAGAAATTACTGGGCACACAGTAGGTATCATAGACGCTTAACTTTATCCCAGCAAGACATCAAGGCCATTTTCTGTGGCCCAGCCTATGGAGCCCCAGCCACAAGACTGGGTTCAAGAGAGACGTGCTCAACTCCCAGGCTTCTCGGGAACTTGAGAAGCCCAGCCTGTGCTGAGGAAAGTCTATCTGACGACTCTAAATGTGGGTGCTGCTCTGGCCAGCATCCCCCCTCCAGAGGCGATCCCCAAACTCAGAAAGGTACAGGAGGCACTAGGCAAGACTCAGAGGTGCCCATAACCCCAGCCTTGTCCTGGGGCCCCAGCCTTCTCCCTGCACCACCTTTGGGTGTCTGCCTGTCAGTGTCTTTTCAAAAGGAGGCTGATGGGACCCAATCACCTCTGGTGGGGCAGGGCCTGCCTGTAAGAAGCTGTTCCCATTAAACCCCAAATCGCTAGAATCTGCTTTCTGGTGGCTTCTCTAGAACAAATGGGAGGAGCAGGCTGTCTCAGGAGGAAACAGACAATCCATCCTCCTCTCAGCTCCCATGGCTCCCTCCATGAAACCAGCAGAATGAACCCTGTTCCAGGCAGAAACCAGTGCATGAATGTCATTTTAAAAGACCTTGGAAAGAGGCCTTCTGGGCAACTGTGTCCAAACCACAGCAGCACCGCCCCCCTCCCGCTCACTTCCCCAGGGCAGAAGACTATATGGTTCTAGGACTGGTCCCAGAATGCATCCTGGAAGGCAGGGAGACCTAGCTGACTTGATCTAAGTGCCAACTCTAATCAGTTGGCTGGGCTACCTGAAGCCTGTGCTGACGATGACTCTGCAGCCAGATCTGAGCCCATGAGCATCATGGTCCCTTGCCGGGTCCGCCATGGGAATGGGGTGGGGGAGCCCCTGTGCCAGGTATTAACCATGCCCATTCCAGGTTGACAGCTCTCCATGGTCAAACAGCAATGCTGGTGGATCATTTCCTATTTTCGGAATACCTGGGCCACCTCCTCGCTCACTGTACATTCCTGGGGGTCACTAATTGGATACAAATCTGAGGCCTGGCCCTCACCACCCTCCTTACCCAATTCCCCGGGGGGTTGCAGTGCCCTGGCTGGGGTGACAGATGCCTGCCCACTTACCTTGGGCTGGAAGGACACTCGGTGCTTGGCAGGCTCTGCCTCCGGCTTGATCTCCTCCCCCGAGTCCTCACTGTAGCTCTCAAACTCACTGGAGCTCCAGCCTAGGTCCTCCGCCTCCCTGGGCCCTCCGTCCTGGTGCACATCCTCGTAGAGCAGGTTCCTCTCCAACCCTGAACGCCAAGGGACAGGGCGGTGAGTGGAGGCCCCCGTGCCAAGCCCACCAGACCCGATTTCTGATCCAGGCAGGCAGGTGGGGGATGGGAGGTGGTCGCAGTTGGGCCCTGGGGCTCCACCTCCGCTTCCTCGTCCATAAAACAGAGGGGATGACCACACAATATCCACCTGGTAAGTGAGGAGGACACGATAAAATGTGGAAAGGCACAAGAAATGTGTCAGGCACACAAAGCCTCCTTAATCCCCTCCCACTACTCCTCAGTGTCACTCTTCTGGGATCTAAGTGCTCATCCTGGGCCTCCGGGAATGTTTTAGTGGGAAACAGAAGACCCAGAACCACGTCCTGACTCCGGCCCTTAGCTCCAGCCCCAGCATCCTCAGGGGCAAAACAGACATTGTCAGGAGCATTAAATGAGTGGGGGACCCCTCACCCCAAATCTGAGTTTCCCGTGCCAGTTCAGGATGGTCCAGTAGGGGGCGCGCCTGGCCCAGCGTCCAGGAGTGTTCCCTTGTCTTCCAAGGCCCCACAGGGGAAGTGAGGGACAAACAGCTGACAGTCCATTGGCCAGAAGGGACAGGACCCCCAAGGCCGGAGCACGCCCATGGTCCCCATCACATCTGGAGTAAGAGGCTGCTTCTCGGCGGGGGTGGAAAAGCCGTTGCCCAGGTAGGCCCGGCTCCACCCCAGAGACCTTGGGCTTCTCCCATCTCTCTGGGCTGCACTTCCTGGCCTGTCACCTGAAGAACTGAACTGCAGGCCCCACAAAAGGGAGGCCAGACCCCCAAAAGTGCATGAAGATGAACATGCTTTTGTCAATGCACGAGAAATATGGTACAAAGGGTTAAAAAAAAATCTGCTCAGAACAGGGAGCTTTGGTTACTGGAGGGAGACCTCTGTGCAAGATGGTGATAATAATAAGCCACAAGGTCAAGTAAATAAAATATGAACCGAAAGCTCTAGCAAAGAGCCTAGCACATGGCAGACGCTCAGCAAAGAGCAGCTGGTCCTTGCTCATGGGGGCTCTGGGAGGGCCCGGGTGTCACCCCACTGACCCGGGGCCCCCACCTCCACTCCACACGAGAGCCAGGGAGTGGGGGCTCTGGGAGATTGTCACCCAAAGAACAAACAGACACACTGAGGCTTAGCTGGGGACTCGGGTCTCAGGATGAGGAAGGAGCATAAGGTTATTTTTAAGCAAAAGATAATAGTGACTAATATCTCCAGGGACTGGAGCAGCTGGTGACCAGGCTGTGACCTTTACAAGGCTGGGCTGATTGTCTTATTACTACAGTGGAGGCCCCATGACCCATGAGCAAAGGGGCAGAGCCCAGTTCTTGGGGGTCCCTCTGAGCAGCCTCTCGAATGCCTACCTCGACACACCTCCAGGAGCCCCAGCCTCCCACCCACCTACACCTCCAGTGTGTGAGGTCTCCCGCTGGATTTTTTTTTTTTAAGATTTATTTACTTATTTATTTAACAGAGAGAGAGAGAGAGAGAGAGCACAAGTAGGCAAAGCGGCAGACAGAGGTAGAGGGAGAAGCAGGCTCTCCACTGAGCAGGGAGCCGGATGTGGGGCTCGATCCCAGGACCCTGGGATCACGACCTGAGCGGAAGGCAGAAGGCAGCCGCTTAACCTACTGAGCCACCCAGGCGCCCTATCCCGCTGGATTCTTAAGATTGGTCAGCAGGGGGCAAGTAATCACCTCCTCATTAGAAAGACAAGAGAACAGGGGCCTGGGGAAGACTCCTGGATTGCCCAGGGTCAGAGAGAGCAGGGAGAAAGGGCTGCAGACTCCTAGGCCAGGCTCCCTCCATCCACCACACTGCCTTCCACTGAGGCCTGCCAACCCCACCATCTCCCGGGCTCATTTAGAAATACACTCTCCAGGGGCACCTGGGTAGCTCCGTTGGTTAAGCAACTGACTCTTGGCTTTGGCTCAGGTCATGATCTCAAGAGTCCTGAGATCAAGCCGCACGACGGGCTCCGCACTCAAGGCAGAGTCTGCTTGTCCCTCTCCCTCCCCCTCTGCCCCACCCTGCCTTGCTTGTACAAGCGGATTCTCTCTAAAATGAATGAATGAATGAATGAATGAATGATGAATGAATAAATAAATAAATAAATAAATAAAAGAAATATTCTCTCCAGTGGAGAAAGTGTCACCAGATTCCTGAGCCTGGGCCAAATCCTCAGCCTGCAGGGGCCTCAGGCTTCACCAAGCTCTGTGCCCTAACCAATGGCAGAGCTGGGATCTGATGCCAGGGCTGTATGTGGGGCCTGCTCCTTGGCTCTTAACCTCTCTGAGAGCCCGCTGAGCCCTCATCTGTCCATTAAGGTCGGTGCTGGGTCCTGGCAGGTGTGATGCCAACAGCACCCGCGTTCCCTGTGCAGTGTACCCACTGAGGGCCAGCCCCAGCCTCATGGGACTCAACCCTCCCACAGCCCCGAGGGTCCTTGGTTTGAAGGCTCAGAGCTGACTCCCTGGCCACCTCCTTTTCACCACATTAGGGACAACTGCAGGATGGCATCTCGGTGTTCAGTGAAGACTGGAGCCAAGTGATGAGATGCTTGATTTGATTCAGGTGGGAAAAGAGCCCAACGGGCCGGAACAATGGCCTCCAACCCACTCAGATCTCTGAGATCTGGGGCCTTCCGACAAGACCCCACTGCCTCCCAGCGATGTCCCTTTCCCCTCCTCTGTCTGGATTCAAGTGAGCAACAAGCAGGGATGTTCCAAGCACCTCTGGGGCTTGCTGAAGGGATGGGCATATCGTCAGCCCACCTGTCCCTCTTCCTGGAAGAGTCAGGAGTGTGGCTCTGAGGGCACTGGGACCTTGTCATGTTGTCTGCATGTCTCTCCCATTGGACTGTGCACAGTCCAAGGATGGTGATGGCCGCCCCGTCAGACTAGAAGCTCCTCAAAAACAGGCCACCGTGATCTGCAGCTGGTGGCTTAACCTCTCTGATACCACCGTCACCTGGAGCCATAAGCCCTGTCCTGCAGACCTCAAGGGGTTGACTCAACAGTGGGAGCAAATATGCATCATCTGTCATAGGATGCCACCCAAAGCATCCTAGGGTAGGGGAGAGAGCAGCGAACTTGGAGTCAGAATGACCAGGTTCAAATCCCAGCTCCGCCTCTAGTTTCCTTGTCCGTACAGTGGGGCCAGGGTACCCCAGAGCGAAGTTTCTAAGCAGATTCTACTTACCCCACCCCACCCTGCCTCTCCCCTACAGCCACAGTCTTCCTGCCTCCCGGGCCCAGAGCCGGGCGCAGGCTTTCCCCAGTCCCCTCCGCGCCAGCGGTCAGGTTTAACAAGCTGTCCTTTTCCCCAGCAGCCCCGGGAAGCCCGGGCTGCCTCCCCGTTCTCCCCAGGCAGGAAATGGAGGCTCGGGGAGGTGAAACGACTAGCCCGAGCCCCCCGGCAGCCTGGGGGACCCCGCCCAGCCCCGGCCCGGCCTGGCCACGCCCCCAGCCGGCTCCAGCCGCTCCCAGGACGCCGGCGGTGGTTGGTGAAAGCCGGAGGGAGGGGCATGGCCGGGTGGGGCGGGGCAGCGAAATAGAAGGAGCAGACCCTCCCCGGGCCCCGCCCCCCCGCCCCCCCGCCCCCACGGGACCCCCCGAAGGCCGCAGGGAAGCGCGGAGGAGGCGTACCGGGTTGATGGGCATCCAGGTTCTCACACGGCACGTCGTCGTAAATCACATCTTCTTCCAGGGCGGGGAAAGTGAACCGGTCGACTGGGAGCGAGGGGAGACGACAGAAGCGCTCAGGAGGCTGTGGCGCCCGGGCGGAGGCGGCTGCCGGGCTGACAGCAGGACTGCACCAGCTGGCCGCTCCCTCCCGCCGCCCCGCTGCTGCTCGGCCAGCAGCCCGCGCGGCCCGGCCCCTCGGGAGCCCCTGCCGGCGGCCCTCCCAGGACTCGGTTCCACTGCCTCTCCCCGCCCCCCAGCCCTGAGAGGCATCCTCCCAGTGAGGACGGCAGACCCCCACCTGCCGCCCTGCCGCCCACAGGCCTGCCCATCTGGCTGATGCGCAGCTGCTCCGGGCACCTGCGGGGAGCAGGAAGCAGACCCAGCACCTGTGCCCGGGAGCATCTTCAGCGGTCCAAACCCTCAGGACTACCCAAAAGGAGCTACCTCCCAGTCCGAGTTGGACCCCAAAGCAGCCCTACTGATTACAGGGAAGGGGGGCAGGGGGGTGGCTTTGGAGAGTGGGGTTAAGCAGAGGGCCCCCAAAACGCAGCCAGCAGGGCCCTGACTGGTGAAAAATTCAACAAATGAACACATCCCTCTGCCAACATTTTGCTGGGCGGGCAGTAAGCAGGGCAGGGCGCCCAGTCTGGGCGCGCCCCCCCACCCCGCCGTTAGCAGCTACCAGGATGTGCAAGTTAAAGAGGTATCCCCTCAAAACCATGTCCCCAAGCTCTGTCCTCTTTAGGGGTGTGCCCCCCAACACAGAGCTAGGGTTTGGAAAACCAGTCCCCACCCTGATGCGAGTCTGTCTTCACCCCAGGTCTAAGAAGACATGGGACCAGATGGGCTCTGAAATCCCCACTGTGGTCCCAGGGCCCCAGAGCCATGGCAAGCCTCACCCTCAACCCCGTCTTCCACCCCCAGAGGGATCCTGCCTCCCACATGGCTCTGAGACCTGCTCACCTCTCTCCAGGTCCCTAGTTCTGGCCATCAGCCTCACTCTCCTGGACAGCCTCCTCCCTGGGCTGCAGCCCATCCCGCCTTGTCTTATAGCTTCACCCCCACCCCACAGCGTCTCTGGCTCTCACAGTTCCCTGTTGCCTTCGGGAAAGCATGGCTGCGAGGCCCAGAAGGAGCTGGGGACACAGCAGCCTCGCCTGGCCCCACTGACCCCTTGGGTGCTATCCTCCATCACACCACAGCTGCTGCTTCCCAGGGTGCCGGATGTGCCCTCTCCCCCGGGGGGCTGGGGCTCAGGCTCCTGCCCAGGCGCCCCTGCATGGATGCTCTTTTCCTGACCCCTGCTGCCTCCTCTCTGCCTTCAGGACTCATGGGTTCCCCTCACTCCCACCCCACGCCCCGCACGTGGCCTTCTGCAAGGTAACTGCTGGCCTATGTGGCTGGTTCTGCTCCTAGAAGGACCTCACCTTGAGCACTAAGGCACGCCACTGCCAGCCCATCTGCCCTGCTGTAGGAGCTTCTGAGTATTTGAGGAACAGATAAACGGTCAAATACATTATCAACTCCTGGACCATGGCTCTCATCAGGCAACAAACGGGGACAACTCCCAAGCATGGGCAGTGAAGATGACCCCATGACACATGCAAGCCCACAGCAGCCCTCTGGGCCTGAAGGAGGGGCTCTGAGGTTATCCCAGTGCCACGCTCCTGGGGTGGGGCTGGGGGGCACTTACTCCGGCGGGAGCTCTTCCGTTTCCAGCTGGAGCGCCGGACCCCGGAGGGAGCAGCATCCACCGCATCCCCGTTGCTCACCACTGGTGGCACCCTGCGGGTCAAGAAACAGCGTCAGTGAGCCAGCAGGGAGAGGGATGGTGCTGCTGAGCAGGGAGGGACAGGACAGCAGGCTCCACGAAGCCTCTGGCAGCCCCGCACCAGTGGGGCAGGGCATGTGAGGTGCAAGGGTGGGTGGAGGGCCAGGAGCCACTTGCCCCCGAAGCCCTGAGTCAGGAGAGCTGGGGGGGCCACATCTGGGCTGGCCTTGAGCAAGCCCCTTCCCCTCTCAGTCTCTCCATCTGTAGAAGGTACCAGAAGGCCACAGTGATGAGGATCAGGGGCCTTCCCTGCAAGGGCACCCATCCTTCTTCCAGGGCAGATTCAGTGGGCTCTCCATCTCCCATTCTCCCACTTGCAAAATGGGGGCAAGGGTTGGGGGACCCCTGCCCCCTGTGAGAAACAAGGTCATGCAAAGCTTCACTAGACCAAACATGGGAGGCAGAGCTTCATGCCCCCCCACACGTGAGGATGGGCTGGACCTACAGGCCCGCTTCCCCGGGGCAGAGACGCAAAGGGAAAACTAGCGAGGCGGCTCACACCAGCTCCACCAAGCGATCAAGTGAATTATCTGCAGCAGCAGCATACAGACATCCCACACTCTGGCAGGTTGGGCCACTCTCCTCCGCGTCACTGTAACCCCACACCCACAACCCCAGTCTGATCATGGGAAGAGGGCCAGACAACCCCAGACAGTCTGCAAACCCCTGCTTTTACTCCCCAACACTCCCAAGATCATGCAAAGCAAGGGAAGACTGCAAAACTGTCACCGAACGGGCTAAACAAAAGATCCCAGAACAGAAAAGGGTGTAAGAAGAAAAGCTGGTGGATGAGAAAGCCTGGATGGTAGTGTGCCCAGCCTGCTTTCTCGGTTTTGAGAAACGTTCCGTGGTCACGTGAGATGTGAACCATGGGGAAAACTGGCTGTCAGGTATACGCAAATCCTGACAACTTTTCTGTCCATCTAAAATTATTCCAGAATGAATGTTGATTTTTTTTAAGTCCAGCCTCAAAAAATCAAAGGCCACACCTGCCAGTCCAGAGGGGAGACACTTGTAATGGTCCAAGACAGCAGCCACTGCTGCCAAGAATTCTCTGGAACGTCCCAGCACCCGAGCCCCGGGAGGAGGGGGAGAGGCATCACCAGGATGGTGCAGGAAGCAGGGAAGGAGGAGGAGGTGGGGAGCACCTCCCATGAGCAGCTGAGACAACATGGATCCCGCATCCTCCCCAGACATAGGCGCTGGGCCAGAGGAACCTGCCCAAGATCACACTGCCGGAATGGCAGAGCCAGGCCGAGGAGCCAGCCTGCCTGGCCCCAGAGTGGCCTCCTCCGACCGCAGCTCAGGTGGCAGAGCACGGAGAGTGTCTGTGCTGGCCCCTGAGCCACGTGTGGCTACTGTGCACTTGGAATGTGACGTGTGGAAGTTCATTACGGGAACTCATGTGACTAAAGAACTTCATTTAATTTTCAAGAACCACCTGTGGCTAGTGGCCCCGTACATGAGTGCTGGTCTAGGGTCCCTACACCACTGGAGGAGCAAATCTCCGCCCACTAGAGACAGGGCGGGGCTAGAGCAGGAGGGCCTGGGGGGCTGAAGGGAGCCACCTGAGCTCACATCCCTAACAACAGCTTCCCTGGGCCCCCACCGCCGCAAGCCATGGACATCTTGAAGGTGATGAATCCAGCCGCTGAGACAGAACCAAGCCTTTCCAGCCCAAGTCGACATGAGCTCGGCAGTTGGGTTGGAAAGGGTCCCAACCACAGGCTCTCTTTGCTCTGATAGGTCACCCATGACGATCGGGGACCATTACAAAGCACCTGTTGCTTGCTGCCTGTTTTGCTTTGTATTTTCAGATTTCGAGTCACAGGAATGCATACGAGGCAGGTACTATTATCCTCATCCCACCAGTGGAGGAACAAAGACTCAGTTCTACTTCGCCAGAGTCGCTCACTCGGTGCAGCAGAAGGAGCTGGGACCTACGGCCCAGGCTGTCTGCCTACAAAGTTTGTCTTATTCCAGCCAGACCACCTGGAAGGAGGGAAGTGGCATTTAAATATTCAACTACATCACATATTTGCTGTGTCATAAGGCCACTGAACCTCGCTTGGCTATTCAGACATCCTTCTTTTTAAAGGGAAGGATAGAAATAGCACTGGGCATACACAAGTTCAAGTCTCTGTCCAAGAAAAATCCTAACAGCCAGCCCCAAGGCTGTGGTGCAGTTCAACCAGAGAACACCCGAGAAGGCCCTGGGTAAATTCTGAAGGTGACATCAAGAGGCAGTGAGTATTTTGGGGGGAGGTCAGGCAGCTTTAGAAGGGATCTGGAAATAATTTAGGACGTACTAAAAGCCAGGAGTGGCTGAAATATGAGCCTCCAGGCTAAGCATCACCAAAACACAGTGAAGTTAATTTGTTAATTTTATTTATGTAATTTAATTTTAAATAGCCACATGTGGCTAATGGCCACCATAAGAGGACAGTGTAGAGCTAAGCCACCTACACAATTAGAGAAGCTAGTCTGGGTCCTGGGCTGGGGAGTGGGAATCTTACAGCAGAGAGAAATCACCTTCATGCCTGCCCCCACTGCCTCCATGGCTGAGGCAAACAGACTGGGAGCGCCAAGGGCGGGAAAGGGCCAGTGCCAATGGGTGGACAGGTCTTCCCAGGCTCAGCTGGAGACCACCACCCACCTATGCCCTTCCCTTGGCTGGTACCTACTCTGGACCCTGTGCCATGCTGAATGCTTGAGAAAGGCCCTGTGAGCACAAGTGCATGTGTTACCGTGACCATTTTATAGATGAGAAAACAGAGGTCCAGAATAGGAAAGTGCCAGCAGGTGGCAGAGCTGCAATTTGCCTGCAAAGCCCTGCTCTGGACACCAGCTCCGTTGCACCTCCCCCGCCAGACTGCAGCAGGTGTCCTCCCGGCAGACAGACGAGAGGCTGGGGGTGCCTCCTCCTTGCCCCTTCCCACCGCGCAGCGAGGCCACCGCCCCACTCCACAGCAACCCAGAGGGCAGCCTCTCCCAGCTGCTGCCTGGCCACAATTCTCTCAGAGCAAACACTCCTTCGGGGGCCTCCCCAAAGGTTCCAGATAACCAAAGAGCCATAAAAAGCAGTAAGAGGCCATTTATCTCACGCTTATCTGAGCTTCCTGCACCTTCAGAGCCTCTCAGCTCATTCCTGAGAAAAAGGCCCGCCACTAAGATGACACCAGTCTCATAAGGTGAGCCCACTCCCCCGGAATGCAGAGGCAAGGAGCCAAGTCCGCGGAGAAGAGCAGAGAACAGGGAGTTCGCTGAAAGCTAGTGGGCGGGAGACAGAAGCAAGTACGCCCCCCAGCCCCCCAAGACCGGTGTCCACTGTCCACCAGACTGAGGTCAAGCACCCTAGAGGGCCACCATGCAGCTCCAAGCGCCTTCTGTGCCCACCTCCTCGCTCTCCAGGGAAAAGCCAGGGGCGAGAGGGGAGTGAGTGCCCTGTGACAGCAGGGACCTCTCCATCCTGGCTGCCCCGTTCCATGAGCCCCAGCACCCAGGGCCACACTCAGTGATGACTGATGCCCACCCCAGCCTATGTTAGATGAAAGCTCCACTCCAGAGAATGGCAGTACCCCCAGCCCTGCAGCTGGCTGGTCCAGCCCCCAGTTTCTCAGTGAATCTCTCTGGATGGCAGATTCCACAGGGTCCCTTTCCCAGGGGCTACACGGTGGGGAAGACCCCCCCCCAAACTCTAACAGCCTGAGGATTCCTGGCAGGCTGGGCTCGTGCCCCTGTGCACGTGCACCCGTACACCCTCATGCAAACACGGGGCATCCCAGGGCCTTTTCCAGGACAAGGTATGAAAAATGCAAAGGAGGCTGGGCGCCTGGGTGGCTCAGTTGGTTAAGCGACTGCCTTCGGCTCAGGTCATGATCCTGAAGTCCCTGGATCGAGTCCCGCATCGGGCTCCCTGCTCGACAGGGAGTCTGCTTCTCCCTTGACCCTCCCCCCTCTCATGTGCTCTCTCTCTCATTCTCTCTCTCTCTCTCAAATAAATAAAATCTTTAAAAAAAAAAATGCAAAGGAGGAAAGAATCCCACCTTTGAGGAAGAGAAAGGACCAGAATCAGGCCTGGACAGCATCCTCAGAGCATCACCCCTCCAGAAATCTACCACCACCCACCATTGCCACTATCCCTACATCCAAGAGACACAAAAGAAAGACAAAAATATGAAACCCTGATTAACCCCACTGCCAGATGTCTTTTCAGCCCTGGCCACTTTCCAGTTTACGTAACATGTGAAGGCTGGAAGGGCCTTAAAGATCGTCTGGTCAGATGGCTCAAAGCAGCTGCATCCGCCGTCACCCGGGAAGCTCCCAGCAGGTACCAGCCAGGGCCCCTGCCCCGCAATTCTGAGCTGGTGGTCTGGGAGGCCAGGCACCAGTGTCTCTAAACTCCCTGCTGCCTCCCCTGTGCGGCCAGGGTCAAGAGAACCAGGCTCAGGGATTGAGGGGTGAAGGCTTCGCTCCTGAGGCAACAGACGGGGGACAACACCACAGTTCTGCCACTTGGCTCTGCATGCCAGGACAGCGGCTGCAGAGTGGGGCGAATAGCAGCTTCTGCTCCCTGCAGTGAGGATTAACAAGATAACTTACCTGCGAAATGGGACAACAAGGCCTCCCTCCCAGGGCGCTGGTAAGGAGGAATTCAAGAAAGCACGGAAATACTTGGCAGGGGGTCTGGTGCTTGATACGTGCTCCTGGTAGGCTACTTCCCCTCCATCCCTGCTCCAGTTACAGGGTCCCAGACTGGATGGGGGTCACACGGCAACGCCCCCAGCCTGCACACATGCGCCTCCTCACAGCCCTAGCCCAGTCAGCTGCCTCCTACAGAAGGGTGCCAGGACCCAGTCCGTCTGTCCTGTGCCACCCCCTACATGGTCACAAACCCACTTCCTGAGTGGGTAGCGAGGAGACGCCAGGGGAAGTCTAGGGAGGGCCCCCCGAC